AAGAAATAAAATAAATGTTCTGTTCTGTTCTATAAAAAACATGTTAAATTTGTGGCGCCACAGTTTAGCTATGTCACTGGCACAAACTACATATACGTATTATCATGTGTTTTTCATCATGGACTCCTAGAACACTCTTCAACACTTGACATATTGTGACTAATTTATATAAAACAAATTAGATTTGATGATTATTTTCAAATAAGATTTTCTTCCTACATGCCTTTATGATTATTTTCATCCCCCACACTACAAATTCATATAACTGCCTGTTATGATACATATATATGTCATGAGAAATCAGAATATTATAGTCAGTCAAACAAGAAGTTTCTTTAAAGAGATATTCTTACTTAATTGCATGGTGTCTTTCAGTATTCACACGTTTTTTTCCGGGATCGTGGACGTTATTGGTCGTCCGGTAAATTCCTATGTTGAATAAGATATTCACTAGAAAATTAATGTAACGGTTTAAAAATAATAATTATTGGCAGGAAGTTAACTGATCTTAATTACTATAGAAAGCGTGTCCTGATTATTTTATAATTTGGACGCGTATACGTTTCAGAAAGATCCTTTAGATTATTATACTAATTTTAGAATTGCCAATAACATTCCCGGATTTCAGTTTGCAATTTTAAAATGACCAATAAAAATCGTTCTAATATCTAGTTCTTCGCTGTAAATTTGACAGGAAGTCAAACCGATCTCTTAGTAAAATTGAAACACGTTTATAATTATCAACAAGCCGTTCCCCACATACCGCTCGTAAATATATTAGCTACATGAACAGAAGAAGAAATAATGTTTGGCTGAGCTTTGTTTATTATCTGCCCTTGACATGACCTGGTGCCAATCGCAACTTTTCGGCCCTTTCCGTTAGTCTTCGGATAAGGACCACGAGCACAATAGTAGAAATACACAGAACGGATACGGTATTTCGGTCTAATCTAAGCTAGGAAACTAATTATGTTAACAAATAGTCATTAAATGCTGGCAGCTATTGACAAGTTTTATTTTAACATATCAAGTAAATTTCGGCCTAAAATAAGTTAATTCATAAATGTTAAAGTAAACAGTACATTATTCATCTACTTACTATTATAGTTGTAGAAACCGAAAGTACAAAACTGCCATGCTGACATTAAGTCGGATTTGTAATTTACATCAGGGGGGTATATTTAAGTACAAAAATGGTTGTTAGATATATTTGTACTCATATTTGCACCGAAACAGACTTTATTTTTCTTTGAATGTCAAATAATTATGTACATTTGTTTTACATTATCAACGATAACACTTTCTGTTTCTGTTAACATCTGAAACCACGTGGTAGAACTACTTTTACTCCGTTATTGATAATAATAGCCATTGGATTGCATAGCACATAGACAAGTTGCAAAGCCTTTTCTCGTCTGAAGATATTTATATGCGAACCATTTCTTATTTTCGTGAGAAAATATTTTAACTCATGACCTTGTGCTTTTGAAGCTGCCACATCAATCCCAAAGACAAACATTTAAAGTTCAAAACTTACAGAATGAAAGCATCATTCCTGCATGATATCATAACCGGTTCATTTATCAACCACATACAGTTAATTAAATGAGCCGCGTCATGACAAAATCAACATCGTGCGTTTTCGACCAGCATGGATCCAGACCAGCCTGCACATCCGCGCAGTCTGATCAGGATCCATGCTGTTCGCTTACAAACTCTATTACAAGTAGAGAATCTAATAGCGAACAGCATGGATCCTGATCAGACTGCCCGGATGCGCAGGCTGGTCTGGATCCATGCTGGTCGCAAACCCATTATGTTGGTTTTGTCGTGACACGGCTCATATTTACTGATGTTGTTTAGCAGACAGAAACACCACATCACAGCATAAACCGCCAATAAAATCAAGGTTTTTTGTAATAACATCTTATCAGTGCAAACAAATAAAACTCGCTTATAATTTTGTATTCAGTTAAGAAAACAAGCCAACAAAAGTACGATACAATTAAAGAAAGGTGCGGAATATACATGGGATCTATAGATAATTTTCATGTTCTAGTTTGACTCTCCTTTACGTATAAGCTCGTCGGCAATGTCCAATTCTTATGTCAACAATATTTGACCTTCATGGTCCTATAGGCCCGACAACAATATTTGACCCTCATGGTCCCGATAAAAATATTTGACCCTCATGGTCCCCTAGGTTCGACGGCAATATTCTAATTTCATGATGTTATATGCTTGACGGCAATGTTGGGCTTAAATCAACGACAGCGTGTGTCTTTTATTGCCCCATAGGCCCGACGACCACGCTCGAGTTTTATTGTCCCATATAGGCTCGACTCTAAGGATTCCATATGGTCGACGACAATGTTCGGATCTCAGGTCTCATTATCTGATATATAAATGCTGTATAGTTAAAATGATTGTTATCATATATACCTTTTGTTTATTATTTCGAGCTGTAATATATTGTATCAATAAACATCAAAGTAGATATTTGTTGACCGATATTTAATTTTTTGTCTGATAATGGTAACAATTTATTACCCACCGCACTTACTTCACCTGCTTATCAATCGATGTTGACGACTTGCAGTTGTATTGAACATAAATGAATGTTGACAGTGGTTCATTCCTTTGTCCACAGGGACGAAACAATTGTTTCAGTTAATTATTGATACATGCAGTTACGTTAGAGTAACGGGAAATAATTTAAAGATCATGTATATTATAATTGAGGTTGTATACCACACTTTACTGAAAATTTATAAATGTATATCATTGTGCTTATAAATCAATTTTCAAACATCGAAGAATATGTAAAATATGTACTGCAAATATTTGTGCACATTATATGTTATCATTGAAATATATGCATTCATTTCTCATTGACAAATTTGACTTAGACTTTATAGAAAATAAATTTCTAGTTACCTCCCTTTATTTACATGAAATGTTAAAATCGGTAATATATTTATAAATAAAGCTTTTTGGAACTTACAATATTGATTAATCTTTATTTGAGCATCATATTTATAATATAAAACCATGAACAATTGTGTTACAGGATCTTTAAATAAGCCCCGGATATTTCAGCATTTAACATGATAGCTTGAATTTATCAAGTGCAAATAATGATTTTAAAGATCCGGTGGTATCTGTTTACTTGACTTAAACAAGTATCTTTTGACGTCATCACAATGTTGTATTTTCTGTAGTATCTTTATTTATTACTTACAAGTTGTTGCTCGTATATTTTCCTTTTGTTTAATATAGAAAGTTTAATTAAATTTTGTCTATCAATGGTCATAAAACGGTTCGGTGAAGTGTAGTAAAACCTGCGTCAAAGACCACCTTCGAATGTCATATAAAATATCTACCGATAAAGGCCTTTTTTTTAGATTTTTTTATTTGATGAACAGAAAATCTTGTCTTGTAAAAACGTCTGTCCCCGGATACCACCACCTTGTTCTCTAGAATCTATAGCAGGTATCTGTTTATTCTTTGCATATAAGAACCAAATGGACTAAACTTTAAAACTACAGTCAAAACTGTCTAACGTGACCTTCCAAGGTACTTTCTTAAGAAGGTCACATAAGACAGGGAGTCTCTTGATACAAGTTTACTGTCAAACATCCAAACATTATCCAAATAAATCAATATAATACTAATAGAAAATATATATGTAGTGTTTAAACATTCATTTATGGTAAGAACAATAAAAGTGAGCATAGTGTTAAAATTGTATACATGTACTATGTAATTGAATATTTGATAGTTGATTAGATTATTAAACAACGTACCTATAAAACTATTAAGATAATGTCAGAATAATATTGAATATGTAGACATTTTTTAACAAGACAGAAGTAAGAACAGAGTTATCTTTCATAACATAGTCGCTAAAAACAGGGATATGCACATTTCAGTACAAATCACGGTCGCTGGTCGCAAATCACTGTGAAAAATGTCCATAACTCATAAACCACACGGTAAATTTTGTTGAAATTTTTTCTACAGGGGACATTTAAGGCATATAACTGTCCTATGTTGTCAAGTTTACAGTTCCTTAAAGTGCCCATTAGTGGTGTTCTACCTTAATACAGTGCAACTTTATAGTCGAAATCGTTGGGCACAGTCGAACAAGATCAAATAAGACAGGAAGTCACTGAAAACAGTGGGTCACTATGTCAGTTTTGACTGTATACAGTTTATTTACGTGCATTTACTTTATAAATACCGCAACATGTTTTTTTATTAAATGTCATGAGATAAGAGAAAACCGGATACATCTGTTAAATAACCGTACGTATGTTTTATACCCTAAATGTTCGGTGTTTTGGGGTATTAACTGTACACTTTTCTTAATCAACCGAATTAGTTTTTTCCCCGCTTGTTTACATGTAACTGCAGCACGTGATTATGCATTTAATGTAAACATTACGAAATGTTGTTGGCGCATGATAATGATCGTTGGTGACTGACAAAAGCTACGGTCAAATATCAGTGCTAATTACCACATGGGATTAATAACATAACACTTAACATAACTTAACATTAGTTTTGATTATAAGGAGAAATAAAAACAAAACAACTTAATTAAGTCAACTTCTTGACCTCTATCTCTACCTTGCAGTGATTTTTCACCTTTAGTTTAAATCATGCAATTTACCCAAAAATCTGAATTTACACCAGGTTTTTTACTTCCCAAAATAAGCAATTTTTTCGATATGTTTCCCAAAATCAACTGGCAAAACAGTGCCTTGACTTTGAAATATATTGTGTTGTATTAAGATGGTATGTTAGGTTGAAAAAAAACATATCTTAATTCGGAAAACAGGAAATAGAAGAGTACACAAGTTTGAACATTTTTTGTGTAGGAAGTTTAATAAGCAGTTAGACAATTTCCCTTATCCTAATATAATACGTCTGTCTTTCGATCACAAATAAATAGTAAAACATTATATACATTCTCATACAAAAACAAAACGTTAGCGTAAACAAATACAACGTAATTTATTTTATCCTTTTAGAAATGTGGAACATATTCATAGTCACAAATCCTAGTGTAACGACTGTTCACACTCCTGAACACAAAGCTCACACATCTATAATGCTGACTTAATTACAGTTAAACCTGTATAGTTGTCCCATTTTCATACAAATAATTAAGCCTGCACATGAAATCTATTTGCAAATGAGCATATAATGTAACATTTACATTCATTTACATGGTTTTGTTGTATTTTCTACAACAACAAAAATGTAAAACATATACATTGGCTTACTGGCGAAACATTTAAGAAACAGTTTTAAGTATGCGGCATTAAGATTACACAGTTTCGTTATAATAACATATATTCCGTTGAAAACGTATTTATAAATGAGGTTTAACTGTATCCGCTAAAGTGCACAATTTCAAAAGCATTGCAATAAAATTATTTATAAATTTGAAAATGTATAATATACACGTCGTCTACACAGGGCTGCACATGTAAAACTTTCACAAGTAATTTAGATTACTTTCACTAATGTACAACATACATCAATTTTGGTCTAATATATACCCGTATTAAATTATTCGTGTTATTTTATGTATTCATCGTTCACTTCCTAAACGTCAAAGGGGGTGTCACAAAAACAACGGATTTTTTTCCTGCCTTGAAATAATTCGCAAGTCCCGCCTTTTTTCGCACATCGTCCTACTTTCATTTTGCCAAATTTTCGTCGTTTCTTTGGAATAAAATCAGTGCACGTGTTTGCTTTCTTGTTAAATCGACAAAGTTTTCTGCGCCGTTTGCCTTCACTATGGCAGACTATAAGCGCCATCACTAGTACTCCTATCAGAAATACGGCGATTGGCCGCATTATTGTCAATATTGATTATTTCCCTCCTTTGAAAATAGATAATTTGTATATACTCGTGTGGAAGTTTATCCAAAATCACTGAAATTAAGATTAAAACAGAGATTAATATTTATCATTTTTGTCGCGGCGCATCTTCAGTAAACATATGTGTGACATTTTTATGGAATTCTGTTGAATAGGAAATGGTAAAATTAATACAATGTACATGTATATACAAAAAAAAATGTGGCAAATTTTATATCGGGGAAAACGTTGAATTCATACCTTGATATCATTATAATAATGCACTGAATAAGTTTTCTTCTTTCTCTTCTATGTAAATCATATTTAGTCTATATAAACAAACATTTATACATGTATTATTTGGAAGCCTAAATACTTTTTTGTTTGCATTTTTGCAACTTTTATAACACATATAACTGCCATTTTAAAGCGCTATTTTTATCACTTGTTTTACACTTTACATTCTCTAAATCGATTATTAAAACAGTATTACACGCATGATTGACCTTAATTTCTAAAGAATAAAAAAAAAAATTTACTTTACGAGCTTTAGTATTTTTAAAATGATAACATTGTTAAAAAAAGAAAGAATCTTTAATTTCTAAATAATTTTTAAAAATCATTAAATATATTATGTTTAGCATTGACAAATAAACATACCTTGTGAACTCAAATGTGGCTCCTGTTTCGTTTTGCACTGTTACTATTTCCCCCAATGTTATATATATATATTATGTTCGCTGCTGGGAAATTTTGTTCTTAAAATAGATATTACTTCTGTGTAACTATAAATAGATTTTCTGTGAGTATTACTAAAACGCATATTTCGCCGCGCATGCTAAATAAATAAAACGTTTTTGTTTCAGTTTCGATTTATAAGAGCGTGGGAACTGTAGTTAAATATTTACGAGTTCAAGGCCATTTACCATATAAAGAAGATGTAGTATAGATTTATATACATTTGTAGTTGGCAATACATCGCAAACTCGTTTATTGTTTTATAGACTTATTTATATAATTTTCTTGTATAAAACTTACTTATGTTAATGTAAGATTACCATGTGATGATGAATATAAATCAGCTGTTTTACACTGTATGTATTTTGTTCAGCTGCTGCAGCTTTAGAAAGGTTTGAAATTGACATTAAATACATATATGTTTTTGTCTTTGGTTTGAATGCCTGTATAATTGATTTAAGTGGATTATTTTGAATAGATCTGTCTTTTGACGTCTTATTTGTGATATGCAGGCTTCATAACCTCTGATCCCCTTTCAAAAATCCATTCTAATTTGTTCCGCCAATTGTTTTCTCGTTTAGTGCCCACGCTTTCTTTTACTTGGGGACCATATGCCGCTTTTCATGGAATGGCACGAAAGTGTTCCATAGAAGGTTCCATGATAACCGCCGTATGAACTCATTTACGGATGTTTCTAAATTCAAAAATTCACCATTTTCATGTTTAAATGTTGAATTCTGCTTAAGCCTGTGTTGGTTGGGGGGGGGGGGTGGACGTAGTTTGCACTTGACAGTACCGTCTATGAACAGATTCAATCAAACCGAGCTAGCAACATTTTCAATTTTGCCGTTTTGGACTTTCTTTAGGGATTCTTATTTTCTCTAATTTTTCCCGCTTTGCGCGATATTCGTTATAATGCGGATCGCGGCAGAGTCGATATTTTATTAGGGGTTGCTGCAGATATTCTGTTTACGAAATGGCTCAGACAAGTTAATATCTAAAATAGATTTCTCTCTATTATACTAGTTATAAAACGAGACTGAATTGCAAATGTCATTAAATAATGGCATGATTGAACTTAATGGTAATGACAGAGAGTATGGAAATGTTCTCAATTCGCAGAAAATGGCCTTCGTTTAGGGGTATTTTTTGTGAATCTAATTTCGTTTTCAGGTCTGATTTGATAACTGATTTTGAACCACGGAATTTCATGGAATTGAAATTTGGTTTGCTATATAACAATTCATGAAATTATATATGTAACATATATATAAGGCTAAAGCCATAAGTAAAAATATCATCCCAAGAGAAAAACTTATACAAAAGTCAAGTGTCGTCAACTGACGGACGGACGTCTCAAAAAGTCAAGTAAAGTAACTGATGCAGCACCACAAGCAACATCATCTTGACCATAATCATTGTCACCATCCCGACCCCCACCGACATCAATTATTATCATTATCATCATTATCAATATGATCATCAATCAAAACTATCATCATCATCACCATTATCATCACAATCACTACCAAAAACATTTTCATCAATCCCTCATTAACATTCTTATCATCACAACAACAAACGCTATTATCATCACTACAATTATTATTATCATCATCATCATCATCACAATTATCATCATCATCATCATCCCTTCCATTATTATCATTATCATGATCATCATCACTACAATTACAATTATTATCATCATCATCATCATCACTACCAGTATTATCATCATTATCATTATTAATCTTTGTCATTGTCATTATCATTGCCACCAACACCAGAATCAACATCATCTCCACAACCACAAACAACAGAACCACCATACTTATCATCATCATCATCATCTTCTTCTTCTCATTATTATCATCATCCTCATTATCATCATCATTTTCACCATCGCTATCAGCATCATCATCTCAATCATCATCATCACTACCACTATCATCATGATCATCATCACTTCAACCATCATCTTTGTCATTGTCATTATCATTGCCACCAACACCAGAATCAACATCATTTCAACTACCACCAACAACACCACCACCACAATACTTATCATCATCATCATCGTTATTATCATCATTATTATCATCATCATCATTATCATCATCATCGTCAGTACCCTCATCATCATTTTCTTTATCACTACCACCAACACCAGAATCAACATAATCTCCACCACCACCATATCATCATCACCATCATTATCATTATCATCATCATCATCAATATCATCATCATTGTCACTTTATTCATCACCATCATGGTCATAATCATCATCATTATCTAACCTCCATTTTTCTTGTATTCTCAACTCATGTGACTAAAAGTGACGGAAGCGTTAAACCGCATCAAACGATAAACAAACAAAAAGTCGGAAATGCCCAGATTATTGTATCCTACGCACTCGCGTGACAGTTATTCATAAAATATGCAGTAATGTTAAAATAATAGATTCGTACTTTCTGATGAATGTAACAGCTGTCTGATTTTGTTTTCATTTTATACCGCATTCAATAAATGTGTAAAAAAAGATTGCAGCCGGTCTAGAAACAGAGCATTCTTGTAACCTTTAACCCTTTTAAACAGGATATGTCTACAATGGGTACATTTTCTATTAATACAATGTATTTCAAAAAAAAAAATAAAAAAAAATAGAAATGTATCATTTGGATTTTCCTGAAGAAAAGTTGTAAGTGACTTTGGTTGACCATTTATCAATAAATACAATATAATACAATACAATACGCTAATAAAACAAATTGCAAATCTGGGGACACCAAAATAAAAAAAGAACTAGAGTCGATGATAAATTATTTTTAACGAAATGTAGCAATTTCTGTTTAAAGTTATATATACAACATCTAGTAGAATGTTATCTTAAAAATGAATTTGTTACTCCATAAAAAATAATTATGTGCACGTTGATCCAAATAATGACATTGGTCCTCAAATTGATCCTTATTTTTATCCAATTATTACTGAGCTTTGTATTATTTAATCCAAAATTAGTTTTGACTATTTTACATTAACCATATCATTTAGCCTAATATAATAATTTACATTATAAGTTTCAATTAGTGCAGAAAACTAAAATCTGAGTTATTAATGATCCTGATATTTTCTGTATGAACATGAAGTCAGGTCGGAAATTTATCCTGTTTACATATGTCAAGGTTATATGAACATAGAAAGTTTTATCAAGATGAAACTAAAAAAAAAATAAGCGATATAAATATGCTCATATTGACTGTTTTAAACATAATTTATTACATAAAATACAAACATTTATGATCATAAAATCATAATAATTCATAATAATTTATGGATTGGCAAATATTCGATAGATAATCCCTTTCTATGATTAAGATTTGTCAAGTTAAATATCAAGGTTTTGACATCGACATGTCAGATTCTCTTTACATGCGATTTGATATTATATTACCCTGTAACAGTACAAATTTCTAAGTCAAATTGTTATTTCATCACAGAATCACTGCATATTAACATCCGTAAATAAATATGAAATGATATTTTAACAAACTCAAGCATCTGACGAATATGAAATTCTATTTTTATCAAACAACTACATTTCAATTAAAGAAAATTAATCATTTTACATTTTATCTTTATTTAACAAACTATTAAGATTAAATTATTAAGACAAAAATATCGTTGTTTATACTCGCACGTTAGATAAGAAATATTTAATGCTTATATTACATATTATAAATAGCTAGGTATTTGTTCTTTAAACTTTTGGCATATGTTATCATCCGGTTGCAGAAATATAACAGAAAAAAACAATCAACAAAAGTACATATCCGGCTTGTCTATCTCGTCTGCTGTTTGGAAACATAAGCCGATTAACAAAAAAAAAGTTTATGTCAGACGATTAAAACCCTACATGCATGCGCGAAACGCATGATTTTCAGGGGCGTTTGCAGGGGAGAACAAGGGAAACAACCGAATTAACATTTTGCTTAAAGAGCAATTCAGTTAACTCCCTTCCGTCAATAGACACGTATAGTCAATTTCTGCTGATGGGCAGGCATGATTTACGTCAAGTAAAGTTAAGGTATAAAAAAATTATGTGTGTCGCAACATCAAGAAATATTAGAGAAAATACCAATGTTTTACGGTTAACGACAATAAAAAATAATTTAATAGTTATACATGAATATAAGTTGAGTTAATGAAAAATACGCGTCGTTTTACCTTTTTCCTTCCCTTTACATGGACAATAATGTGCGGTCTATACATAATTATGCATATAGAAAAGAATAATATGTAAATTTGAAAAAGAATATTAAATATATATTATGATCAAATTTGATATCATATCAAATTTGATTCTATATACATGTAAACAGTCACGTCAACAGTGAATGAGTATTTTACTCTTCATACTACATACATGCAGCGTCATTAATTTAAAGCCTTGCAGATTTTTCAAGACAGTACCACTTTAACTTGACTAATAATAGAATACGCAGCCACCCAAACATAGCTTGTACGTTCTGTTATTCAAATTAGACATAGTCAGTAAAAACATTCACAGATTCATAAAAGTATTTTACACATACATGAGCATAATTATATCAAATGTAAAATGAAATTATAAAGAAAATTAAATGGAATATAATTTTGAAGTATTATTGTTAAAGAGGAAGCGAAAAAAGAAGCATTTTCAACATTTGTTATATGTTTACAAACGTTTTTCCCCTACTTTTATTAGCAATAACAATTTACTAACAATATAACTAGTGGACAATTTAACTTGCCTGGTTTCAAGTGGCCATTATAGAGTTCTAGTACACTTTTTGTAGCTCAATTTTATTTATTTATTTATTTATTTATTTACTCATTTGCTTATTATTTTATATATTCATTCGTTTTTATAACGCTTTGTTTTTTGTTAAATTTACGTCAATCCGACACGTTTGTGAAATTTAAAATGGAAATAAGTCACTCAAGTAGAAAATGACAACTAAATAATGAATATTTCACTCTATATTAGAGCATATGTAATAAAAAAATACAAATTTATCAAAATGTACACTGAAGCGTTATAGTAAACTAGGTGTAGTGAAACGTGAACATAAAATGCATCCACCCAGGTTATGTATTCTATTGGTGTAATTGTGCACGGGCGTAGCCAAATGGTGTTTCTTATAGACCAATGTCCCGTGACCTTAATGCCGTGGTTTTTTTTTTACGATACGGCTAACGTAAAATTAAAAAAAAATCATACAATTTAATCCTTTTAATGTATCCATCATTTCTATTTATCAAATGCAGCCAGATATAAAGCCAAAAAGAAAGCCCAAAATTGAAAATAATTTTACAATAAAATCATTTCTGCAAATTTTGTAATCATATGTAATTTTGTAAGAAAAAAGAAAACCGGTCTGATAGACAAAAAGAGAAAGATAAATATGTAGTTACATCATTGAGATTACATCATTGAGAACTGATGGGTAAGTTTATAGAATATCCTACACTAAATCAGTATGTATTTTTCAGATCTTTGTTGAAACAGAAACCTCATGTGACGTCACAGTCGGAAAAGTGGTCCGTCGCATTCCGTTACTTTCCGTAATTTAAATCAGCATTTTCCATACCCGGTGATTGCTTGATTACAACCTACAACAGTGTCTCCGGTTCATAAAAACATTCAGAATAATTTATTCAAGCAATACTCTTTCATAAAATGTCTACTTTTATAAAGGCTTATATAACCTTTAAGTTATTTTATTTTCTTTATGTTTAAAGGGAAGAAAACTGTCACATGGTACATGAAATTCTGCGAGTTTTGTAATTATATAAATGACTTTAAAGGTACTCCACTGAGGTTGTTTGACATGATGGGACTAAATATATTTTTTCCAGATAAATGAACCATTTTATATAGGTTAAGACCACTGATCTTTGTGCAAAATTTCCGATCATTCGCGCACTTCGTTTTTCCAGAATAATTATTCAAATTGTAAAAAAGTAACCCATAGGAAAGCGTTTCAACACTTTTCACTCAAATTGGGCAAAGAAAAGCATAAAAATACGATTTTCAATTTATTTCAAAGTGTATTTCTTTACTATCTTTGCATATATTTCTGTTTAAAGTGCCCCAGCTCATTTATGTAAGAAATTCAAATGTTATATTTTCAGGCTTTTAAACCTCAGTGGAGTCCCTTTAAAGGCATATTATACCTAAGAAATACATATTTTATTTTATTCTTTAGAAATGTCAAAAACATATGTTTAAAATGTTTTAATAATAGATTTAGTTCATGACAGATGTTTATAAATTATACTTGTTCGTTAGTTAGCTACACACTTGCGTATCTTGGGTAACTGAACAAAATGATTTCAGGCGTGACTATGGGCTAAACGTTCAACGAAACAACTCGGCTGTGACTGCCTTAACTCGACACGCCTTATGTTTTTTTTATTTGTGAAACGAAATGGTTCGGAAAACTTAGTAAAAGTAAGTTGATTTTTATTCACAATATTTTCAATAAAGTGATATGAGTTTGAAACAATAACTCCAAATGTCCAATGTTAAAAAATCAAATATACATTACATTTACTGAAAAGAAATATACAAACGATAGAAAATTGCATTTTGTACGATTTTATTGTCACTAGTAATATTGAAAATATTTTTTTATTCAAAACATTTCATTATCTGCTAAATAAAATACATTTATGTAATATCGGATGTATCTCAAACTTGCCAACAACTTCCACACTAGCCAACAACTTCCATGCATAATTCTTTCGTGTTTTGTTGTTATATCTTATACTATATATTATCAACGTAATTATTCATGTTTTTCCTTCCATATTTTTGTGATACAAGCGTTTCTATGTCCGTATGAAATTTGTGTCCAACCGTAATTGTCACACTTCTTGAGACGTATTTGCACGCATTAGCCACACTTTGTGACGTTAACGTTTGGTGAAATTGAGGTTCAATAGAAGTGCACCTGATGACGTCATATTTCTTTATTTTTAACAGTTGTGTATTTGTTATTTAAAATCGCATGTCATTTTTCTTATAGATAAGCATTTTTTATCTATCGTAACTCCATATTTCGCGGTCCTTTAGGTATATTTTGAAGCAACTGTCATTACTTACATATAAAGAAAATTTGTTGACTGCTGAAGTTTTACCTTAGGAACGGGTGTGTACTTAGATATAGGTAACTGTCCTTCAACAGTTTGCTGGACATATGTCACCACACGAACCCGATATAACCTCAAAGTCATATCATAAACAAATGCCCCAATCATAGTGACCTGTGTATAAAGGTATGTGATATACATATGATGTTAGCGATTGATTTTGTTCTTCCTTTATAAAGTATTTCACTATCCTTTCACAACGAAAGTATCAATAGACCACCTTATTCTCTAACATGTGGCGAACTACCATACGTTTTTAAAATGAAAATTGTTCTTTACAGAAGATGAAATATTCAAGTGCTCTCTTCGCGTTGTTAGTGTTAATGCACGTGAGCCACATTAAAGGAGCCACCAAACCCACGAAATACCCGCCAAAACTCGGGGGAGGTGCTGACGGAGCTGCCGGGAGTGAGTTTTTGAAAGGAACCGCCGATGTAAGTCATTTCTTTAAAGCTGCACGCCGATGTAAGTCATCTCTTTAAAGTTGCGCGCCGATGTTAGTCATTTTTTTAAAGTTGCGCGCAGATGTAAGTCATTTCTTTAAAGCTGCACGTCGATGTAAGTCATTTCTTTAAAGCTGCATGCCGATGTTAGTCATTTCTTTAAAGCTGCATGCCGATGTAAGTCATTTCTTTAAAGCTGCATGCCGATGTAAGTCATTTCTTTAAAGCTGCATGCCGATGTAAGTCATTTCTTTAAAGCTGCACGCCGATGTAAGTCATTTCTTAAAAGCTGCATGCCGATTTAAGTCATTTTCTTTAAAGTTGCACGCCGATGTAAGTCATGTCTTTAAAGCTGCACGCCGATGTAAGTCATTTCTTTAAAGCTGCACGCCGATGTAAGTCATTTCTTTTAAAGCTGCACGCCGATGTAAGCCATGTCTTTAAAGCTGCGCGCCGATGTAAGTCATTTCTTTAAAGCTGCACGCCGATGTAAAGTCATTTCTTTAAAGCTGCAACGCCGATGTAAGTCATTTCTTTAAAGCTGCACGCCGATGTAAGTCATTTCTTTAAAGCTGCACACAGGTGTAAGTCATTTCTTCAAAGCTGCACGCCGATGTATGTCATTTCTTTAAAGCTGTACGCCGATGTAAGTCATTTCTTTAAAGCTGCACGCCGATGTAAGTCATTTCTTTAAAGCTGCACGCCGATGTTAGTCATTTCTTTAAAGCTGCACACAGGTGTAAGTCATTTCTTCAAAGCTGCACGCCGATGTATGTCATTTCTTTAAAGCTGCTCGCCGATGTAAGTCATTTCTTAAAAGCTGCATGCCGATTTAAGTCATTTCTTTAAAGTTGCACGCCGATGTAAGTCATGTCTTTAAAGCTGCACGCCGATGTAAGTCATTTCTTTAAAGCTGCACGCCGATGTAAGTCATTTCTTTTAAAGCTGCACGCCGATGTAAGCCATGTCTTTAAAGCTGCGCGCCGATGTAAGTCATTTCTTTAAAGCCGCAAGCCGATGTAAGTCATTTCTTTAAAGTTGCGCGCCGATGTAAGTCATTTCTTTAAAATTGCACGCCGATGTAAGTCATTTCTTTAAAGCTGCACACAGGTGTAAGTCATTTCTTCAAAGCTGCACGCCGATGTATGTCATTTCTTTAAAGCTGTACGCCGATGTAAGTCATTTCTTTAAAGCTGCACGCCGATGTATGTCTTTTCTTTAAAGCTGCACGCCGATGTAAGTCATTTCTTTAAGCTGCAAGCCGATGTAAGTCATTTATTTAAAGCTGCACACAGGTGTAAGTCATTTCTTCAAATCTGAACCGTTGTATGTCATTTACTAGTAGTTAACGCTGTACGCCGATGTAAGTCATTTCGTTAACGCTGCCCGCCTCCAGATGAGCCAAAATATTTCAAGAAATTCATTCTTTAGAAAAATGTATTAAGATCTTAAGAAAAGTAAAATGATTCAAAATTTAATTATTTTTTTTACATGTTATGTGCAATTAATGACTGATTTTGCAGTATTAATCTATATAATTCTACTGTGTTACTAACGCAGTAAGAGTGGCGGAGTGGCCGAGTGGTTAACTCGTCGGACTAGTAATCTAAGGATTGCTTACCGCATGGGTTCAAACCCTCTCAGGGGCAAGCCGTTGTTTCCTTGAGCAATAAACATTTTATTCATTGCTTAGTACTGGTTGGTTCCAGGAACAGATTCGAGAGTGTTTCAATCTAACTAAAATAAATTTGTATAAACTAAACTAACGCAATAAGAGGTATTTATGCATATTTTGACCTCTTTTGGATTGTAAGTGCCGTTTCAAATTTGTAAATTTCAAACTGATGAGAAAAATGTTCTATGCGGCATGGCATTCTTCGATTTTTGAAAAAGAAGCATATTTTTTTTAATCGGATGTTTTTATAAACTGTATTTACTTTTTCCTACTATGTTTTGGTCGATGGCTCTATAACGGAAGTGTCAAGGGCTCTCATTTAAACAGATCACCAAACTGTGAAAGAGCCACTGTTTAGTAGGCGTGGAATAAAACGGTTGCGAAGAGATAATTAAGCCATTTCAAATGATGTCAAAGAAATGACGTTATAAAACGCCGTTGTAACCAAAATTAATAAGATAATTACAGTGTGTTGCTTATATGCATGTCAAATATGTGTTGCCGTTTAATAAACGTTTTATAAATTATAACTAGTTTATAATGATGCGGACACTAAAGTTTTTTTAAATCTAAATATAAACTGTTTAACATAGATTGCTTCCAGTACTGTATATAACATCATTAATCTTGTTTTATATTTTACAGACACCGAAGCTAGAAAGTGAGTAGTTTAAATTACCTCAAATTCTACCTCATATTTTACATTAATATTTTACCTTATATTTATCTCATATTTTATCTTATCTTTTACTTCCTATTTTACTGTCACAGGGTGAGAGAAATGTGAAGCCTGACTGGGACTCGAACACGGGACCCTCGGAATACCGTTCCGTGACTCTACCGAATGAGCTTTCCGACCGCTTACACATCTTCTTCCCCTTAAAAGTTAACACTTCTAAACCGTGACATACTCCGGCCCCGGTTATATTGAAATTCGTCCTCGAATTTCTCAGGTTACAGAGCAATGTGAATTCAACTGTGAGCTATATTTTTCACGGTCCCCCGTTTGGCGAAAATATGTCACATGATGAGAAAAATGTGCAGCCTGACCGGGACTCGAACACAGGACCCTCGGCATACCGTTCCGTGACTCTACCGACTGAGCTATCCGACCGCTTACACATCTTCTCCCCCTCAAAAGTGAATAGTTTTGAACCGGGTCATTACATTCATATTTTACCTTCATATTTTACCTTCAAATTTTACTTTCATATTTTACCTTCAAATTTTACGTTCATATTTTACCATCAGTTTTTACATTCATATTTTACATTCATATTCTACCATATTTTTACCTCATATTTTACCATATATTTTACCTTACATTTACCTCTTTTTTACCTTGTAACATTTTACCTCATATTTTACAAGACATTTTACCTTACACTTACCTCATATTTAACCTAATATTTTACCTCATATTGAACCTTCATATTTTACAATATATTTTACCTTCATATTTTATCTCACGTTTCACACTCCATTTACCTCATATTTTACATAGTAACATTTTACCTCATATTTTAGATTACATTTTGCCTTCAATATTATACCTCATATTTTACATGACATTTTACCTCATATTTTACCTTAAATCTTACTTCATATTTACTTTCATATTTTACCTTCACATTTTACCATATATATTTTACCTCATATTTTGCATTGAATTTACCTCATATATTTTACATAGATTTATATGATGAGAAAGCAGTAGTAAACAAGTAGTATATCAGCTAATATTTCAGAAGTTTTAGGTCAAAATTTAAAACACGATACAATACTGTTCCTAAAATGTAAACTTGGTGTTCATTGCTTATGGTATTTAAATGTAGCTTCTTACAGAAGAAGTTTATATAAAAAGACTCATAAGTTTATTCAGTTTTTACTTCGACAAAACTAGCATCATCAGAATGTGGGCAATTATTTACCAACAATGTATAAATCAATTCATTCCAAATGAAATAAAATCCGGTATATTTTATGAGGGTGTAAAATGTAACAGCCAATCTATTGTATATTGATGTTTTTTGTTTTCTATATGTAGTTCGGAGTCACTGTACAAAGAGTACACCTGCATCCACTGACGTAGATATGAACCTGTTCGTCTATCAGAAAGATACAGCCTTCAAATTTAGTAACATTGGACCTGACGATGATAAACTTGTAGAGTGAGTGATGTATTTTCATTTAATATGTTTACATTTAATTGATAAATCATTCAAGGTAGATATTAAATAGTATGATAGCCCAGTTTATTACACGGTGCATATCCATATCGGTACCCTCTTTGCGAAATCTACTCAAAGGGTACCCTTTCTTGCACATGCACGGGCCATTCTCTGCTCAAAACAAGCTGGCGATGGATAGGTTAGCAATTCAACGCAATTCCATTGTAACGAGGAAAAGGCGTATGCCATGTGGTAAAGTAGTATATCACAGAAGACTATGATATTTTATATATGTGTTGTTTTGTCATATGTCCAGTTTTCAGTTACTGTAACTTCACAATAAACTACATAAAATCGACATATCTTGACTTACCACCGCCCCGAGATAAATGAACCAGTTACTTGATTATATACGCAACACACATATTATATGTATTCATCTGTATACACATCATATTCCGACAAATTGCAATAATTAATTAAAAATGAATGTAAAATTCATAAAAACATTCTACTTTCGGTTTTGAAGCGGCACGGGCTACCTCTTTACCGATATGGATATGCAAATTAAAAAATCAATGTGCGTGATTTAAGTTTACTAAAGACATACGTTAGACATATGTTAGAGTAAGATATTAAGATTTAATCGATAAATCATTCAAGAAATTTGTTGGTAAAACGTATAAAGTTTTATTGATAAATCATTAAAATTATTTGTAACAACATTTTACATTTTTGTTGATATTAACCAAAATCTTTGCATGCCAATAGTGAGGCACGACAGAAAATGCACGTCGTACACAATATAACAAAATAAATCCAAACATGTGATTTAACATACAAATTGAAAAATATTATTTACTGAAAAATACAGCAATTTTGATTATACAATTGTTTACTTTTTTATAAAAAGAAGAGATGTTCTTCGTGTTATTAGTACAATATAAAATGTTAAGCGTGTTTCTGAAAAAACGATGTTTGCAGTTTCATGTCATTTAAGAGAACTAGATAATATACACTTACAATGTTACAATATTCTTGCTTTAAATTAATATAATTCCAATTCAACGGTAGCTTTATACGCATCTTTATAATTGATATTTTTGTGTTGTTTTATTTTTATGTGTAGATACCAAGCATGTTTTCTGATAGATGCAAAGGAATATGTTGACAACAAGAACATTCAGAAGGCGACAACTCTCACAGGCTGTGGTGGTTCTGCCTCCTTGGTGCGAGGCAATTCGGGAGGTGATATAGGCACTGACCTTGATAGTCGAACCTTTAAAACTAAAATCAGTTTCGATCCTTCCGACAACTCGTATGATTGTGGTGGATATAAAAACATGGTAAACACCTGTTATGTAATAACAGTAGAAACGAAGTGTCCAGTTTCAATATAAACTCAGATATTTTTATTATCTGAGGTGTGTATGTCCCTGTAAATTAAATAGAAGATATGATATATTTTGGAAAAAAAAACACGATGATTGTTGATAATTACGAAATATTGTTATAAATATAAGATTTATATGATGTTTTTTTTTCTGGTGAAGCTTTAAATAAATTTTCATTGCATTTACTGTTCGTCATTTTCTTTTTTACAATTCTAAGTATAATTAAGTCTTAAATAAATTTTCTACGAAAGACCGGTAAGGGCATTTCAACTTCATGAATTCCCGATTTCAGCTTCATGAATTCTCGATTTAAACTTCAAGAATTCACGATTTCAACTTCATGAATTCACGATTTCAACTTCACGAATTCACGATTTCAACTTCATGAAATTGAAATCGTGAATTCGTGAAGTTGAAATGGCCCTACAGGTCTTTCGTAATTTTCCCTGTTATTCGTCATATCTTGGTTTCGTCGTTTTCAAAATAAAAAAAATGGTTTTCTCTGTGTTAGTCGTCATTTTTTGTTTACCTTTTTTATAATTAAATAAGAATGTAGTTAAAAATAAAGTTCCCTGTTTTTACTCATTTTTTGTTTTAAATATTTACGATTCGAAGTAAACTTTTGTTTTAAGATAAAGTTTTCCTGATTTATTCGTTACTTTTCGTTTTTCACTTTTTTATGATTCAAAGTAAAATTACATTTGAGATAAAGTTTTCCTTTGTTATTTGTCTCCTTCTTGTTTTCATGTTTTTATGATTCAATGTAAAATCTTATTTTAAAATGAAGTTTTCCGTTTGTTATTCGTCATTATTCTTTCATATTTTTATAATACAAAGTAAAATTTAGTTTAAAATAAAGTTTTCCTGATTTATTTGTAATATTTTTATGATTCAAAGTAAAATTAAGTTTAAAATAGAGTTTTTTTTGCGTTATTCGTGATTTATTCTTTTCATATGTAAAATATTTGTTTAAAGGGACTCCACTGAGGTTTTTTGACATGACGGGACTGAAAACATTTTGGAGACCATTAATCTTTGTGCCAAATTTCAGATCATTTGCGCACTTTGTTTTTCAGAATTATTATTCAAATTGTAAAAATGACCCAAAAAGAAAAGCGTTTAAACGCTTTTCACTCAAAACGGGCCAAGAAAAGCATACAAATACGATTTTCAATTATTTCAAAGTATATTTCTTAACTATCTTTGAATATATTTTTGTTAAAAGTGCCCAAACTCATTTATGTAAGAAATGCAAATGTAAGGTTTTTAGGCTTTTAAACCCCAGTGTAGTCCCTTTAAGATGATGTTTTTCGTTGTTTATAGGACACCAAGGCGGTTTTCGCGGTGACATGTAAGAGATACGAGTTATACGACAAATTGTTTGATTATACGTTCCTAGTTTATTACGATGCCGACAAGGATGCGTGCACCAGTCTACAGATTGACCCACAAGACATCACTGTAGCGTAAGTTATAATTTACATATGAGCCGCGTCACGACAAAACCAACATAATGGGTTTGCGACTAGCATGGATCTAGACCGGCCTGCGCATCCGCGCAGTCTGATCAGGATCCATGTTGTTTGCTTACAGACCTTGTAACAAGTAAAGAAACTGATAGCGAACAGCATGGATCCTGATCAGACTGCGCGGAAGCAAAGGCTGGTCAAAACCACAAAAAAACTACAACATATCCTATGACATGTTCTTGGTGCTAGTGTTATGTTTTAAGTGCAATCTCATTATTTTCATTTTGCAATGGCAAATTTTAAGTAAGAGAACTGGGGTCTGAAGACCGAGCTAGGCACTTGCTTAGCGGTGGTTCTTGTTAATTTCAGACTTGAATCCAGAATATTTTATTAGAGAAGTGGTTGCATAATTTCGACAATGTGCTATATATAATTTAAATGGGTTTTGGCTTTAAATAAGCTTGCCAGATGGTGGGGGTCAAGAGAAAAATCTTTGCGCGATTTTCACCGAAAAAAAAATAATAAAAAAGAGTAACGTTATATCCAGATCTTTATTTGATATATATTTTATACAAAATAGCCAAATCTCATTTCTATGGGTCATGATCCCCTATTGCCCCCTCTCTGTCTCTTGATCCGTGAATGTATTCAATTTCTGTCAATATCCTCAGCCAGATATATTGTATGATTCAGAAATGCCCCCCCCCCCTGTACATTTCTAATTTTTGTTTGCTTCAATTTTCTCTATGTAGCACCCCGCCGACGATCGATCATGCTCACCAGTTTGAGGTCACATTCAAGGCTTACACCAATGATGATATTGCTGGGGTACCCTGGCCAAATGGTCCACAATCAGAAGATGGTTCCCACTCAAATAACGTCAAAGAGGTCACTGGGGTCCTAGACCTTGGTACCACGTTTTATTTGGAGATATGTTTGATTAATCCGTCTAAGCCGAGCGATCCATCCTACAAACCGTTTTTTAGTAAGTCATATTTCGTCATATCATACAAACCGTTCTTTAGTAAGTCATATTTCATCATATCTTAAGTTACTCATATTTCATCATATCATACAAACCGTTCTTTAGTAAGTCATATTTCATAATACCATACAAACCGTTTTTAGTAAGCCATATTTCATAATATGATACAAACCGTTCTTTAGTTAGTCATATTTCATCATATCATACAAACCGTTCTTTAGTAAGTCATATTTCATCATATCATACAAACCATTCTTTTGTAAGCCATGTTTCATCATAACATACAAACCGTTCTTTAGTAAGCCATGTTTCATCATAACATACAAACCGTTCTTTAGTTATTCATGTTTCAACATAACATACAAACCGTTCTTTAGTAAGTCATATTTCATCATATCATACTAACCATTCTTTAGTAAGCCATGTTTCATCTGACATACAAACCGTTCTTTAGTTATTCATGTTTCATCATAACATACAAACCGTTCTTTAGTAAGTCATGTTTCATTATATCATACAAACCATTTTTAGTAAGTCGTGTTTCATCATATCATACAAACCATTCTTTATTAAGTAATATTTCATAATATCATACAAACAGTTCTTTAGTAAGTCATATTTCATAATAAAATGCAAACCATTTTTTAGAAAGTCATAGTTCATCATATCATACAAACCGTTCTTTAGTAAGTATTATTTCATAATATCATACAAACTATTTTTTAATAAGTCATTTTTCATAAATATCATACAAGCTGTCCTTTAGTAAGTCATATTTCATAATGTCATATAAAACCGTTCTTTAGTAAGTCATGTTTCATCATAACATACAAACCGTTTTTAGCTCACCTTGCACAAAGTGCAGGTGAGCTTTTTGGATGGCCAACCAAATGGCGTCCGTCGTCCGGTGTCCGTCCACATTTTAAATATTCTAAGGACATCTTCTATTATACCGCAAGGCCAATGTTAATGAAACTTGGCAGGAATACTCTTTGTATAAAGCTCTATCAAGATTGTTCAAAGAATTCCATTTCATGCTAAACTCTGGTTGCTATGGCAACTAAAAGAAAAAACTTAAAAGGTCTTATACTTCAAAATGGAAAAGGCTAGAGCTTAGATATTTCTCTCAAGGCATGAGCTTGTTGGATTCTACAAAGTATATTAAAATTATGGTCTAGAGTTGAAAATTGGTCTCTGTTTTGGGGGTCAAAGTGTTTTTTTATTGCAAGATTGTATAGACTGTCTTTGTAGGGATAATTGAAAAAGTGTATCTTGTATTTTTTGTCTCAACAGACATTGTTATGAGGATTTTTCTGTTAAAGCATTAGAAAGATGAAAATGTTGTTAGATGTGAATGTTAATTCAAAACAAAGTCAATCAGAATAGCCAAAATTTCAGAGCTAAAATGAAGTTGATTTCCCCATGCAATAATAGATTCTTCCATTAATTTCGTAATACCATCAGAAAGGAGACTGTGTCATTTCCGAAATAAAATGTAATATATTTTGGTTCTTGACATTGACTTGCACATATTATTGTGTAAGATATTGCACAAAGAAACGAAAGTAAACAAAAATGTTGTATTTTTTTCACAAAAAAAGCTGATTAAGATAAAAGTTTAATTTACTGTACGGATATTACTTAGATTCTTCCTTCCGGTTTGCGGACTTCAACATTGTGTACGCTGGTTTTACTGAATCTGCTGAACGATTTTAATCATGCCATTATATTTCATTCTGATCATAAACATACAATTCAAATCACTAAATAATGCATATCAATCAGTCTTGAGTCAACATTTTTGTCCAGAAAACATCTGTATCAATCTGACCTATTTACGAAACTAACCGACCGGAAGTAGGACAAAATGGCGGCCTTGAACAAGGAAATTGAGAATTTTTGTAACATAAACTCGTATTTCAAAACAAAGAAGTGAAGATGAATACTATTATCGGTGGGCTACGTTGAAACAGGTATTTTGTTAACAATCTGTGAAGTATTAAGGGATGACATTTAGTATTTATGTAAATATCACCTCCCGTGATATGATCTCTAAGATTTTATATGTATGACGGAATTCCGTATTTTCGGCGATCTCCGAGGTCATTTTTCTGAATGACGAAAATCCGCTGAGAAATCGGGAAGGGTGTGTGTGCATGCCTCATTAATTAGCGTGTGCACATTGCTTGATAATGCTTGATATATTATTTTAAATAAATTTGTCCGTCTCAGACCTGTTTGCACAAAATGGGAAATATACGAATCAAAACAATTACAATAGACCCATTGCACAATGACATCACAAGCACCTGCTACCAGAATTTAGCAGATTTACCGGTTGGAAAGAAGAACCAATATTTATAAACAATATATAGCAGCAGAATTTTTAAATTCCTGAACTTTTTTATTTGTGGATCGGTTTTTTATATTCTTATATCATTTGAAAGTTCTTTATATTCATATTTTTAAAATATTAGCGGATTTTCATTTTTTGCTTTTAAAAAATAAAGCTCAGCTTTTTTTCAACTGTTATTTCAATAGTTTTCTAGCACCAAGTTTAACTCCTTACCAAGAAAAAATGAAAACGCTTGGTTAATTTATTTTTTATATATAAAATATGAGTAAAATGACCTTTCTAATGATATAAAATACTAAGCTGTTTCATGAAAAATAAGTTTTTTATTATAAATATAAAATTACTATATTTTGCATTTTATCAGCCACCATACTTTTTGCCAACCATCCGAAAGTTACTTGTATCTCTTTATCAGCAGTTTGTTACTATTAATAGATTTCATAACAATAACATGCAAAGGGCCTATACGGAGATTGCCGATGAAAAATTGAGCTAGTTAGATTAATACAATGTCAGATTTAATTGGTCGTCGTTATTTTTACAAGCCAATGAAATCGTTTGTTGCATAGTCATTTGATGTCAAAATACATATATGTACAAATACAATGACAATAACAGTGAAGTGTTAATACTAACGATCTAAAAAAGGTGCAAAAAACAAATGGAGGACTTTAAAGGTAAAAAATGGGATGCTTGGTTGAAGAAACCAAATGCAATGGGCTTTTGTGAAGTCTGTTCCAAAACGATCAACAAGACAAATTCGAACAGAAAAAAGGTGCTTCTTAATCACGATGAGCTGAAGATGAGGACCACTAAAAGAATCTTAGACCAAGTAAGATCATTTCTCTGTGTAGTTTAGCCACTATCTAGTGTTAGCAACGAAAAGAGGTTTAGTTGTGCATTGTGTATTTAATAAACAATGCACATTACCCCACCCTCTTTTTCTTCTGTCTTCCCCCAACTTTCATGTGGTCTGGGCAAGGGTTGGGGGGCAAATTAAAAAATGGCCTTATGCAGGGGAACCTATGCCCAAATTTTTAATAGGTCTGGACTTGTAATTTGGACTTGTGAATTTGGACTTGTAATTTTTTTCACCACTTGAATAATAGATTTTTTTCCAGCTGAATATTATTCTAATGATTAGAACACGATTTTCTTTATCTATGTTTTTTTTAGTTTGATTATCTCCTTGTTTCAAAACTAAATTGACAATTTATGAGTGTGATATTTTTTGATATTTTTTCATACATCTTTTATTTGAAAATTGTCTTTTTCAGGTACTGCCAGGCTCATCAAAAGCTGTGCACAAAAAGATTGAAAGTATGCAAGACGGCATTGCCAAACAAAGAGCAATCACAACTGCCTTTCTTAGTGAACATTGTCTGCCATTTTCCATAGCAGGCGATCTCTAATCTAACATCTTGCCAAACGTTTAGCTGAAGACAAGCCTGCTCTTGAAAAAACTCTTCTTTCTCCAACCAGTGCAATGTACATTATTATTATAAACAACACATGGTGTAGCCAAATCTGTTAAGGATGGAGTGAAGTCAAAAGTGAAAGATAAGTTAATATCTTTGAATATGTATGGGGCAACTAACAAAAACCAATAACAAAGTACTGAATATAATCTTTCAGTACTTTGATGATAGAACTAGTCAAGTAGTAATGGATCATTTAGGATTGAGAGAATTCAAAATGTTTCCACTTCTGAAGAAATTGTCAAGTCAGTTGAGAGTGTACTGCATCAACAAGTTGAAGACAATGGAAAAGGAATAAATTTAAGATATGAAATTGAAAATAGTAAAAAGAATGAACATAATTTGTTATGTGGAATGTGTATAGATTGCTTAAAAAGTATTCCTCAGTGAATTTGTGTAAATTTTAACATATCAGATTAATTACATCTGAAGATAAATAAAGCACTTGAGTATTTATCTGAGCCTTTTTTTGAGCTTATAAATTCACTAAATTGCAAAAGCTTCCGAGGGCCTCCAGCCCCTGGACTCCTAGCCAGGGCGTTTCCCTGGAACCACTTGCGGTCCTAGCAGCCCCCTGGCCCCCAACTTTTTCTTTCAGTATTTTCAGTTTCTGTAACTTTTACCCCTGCATGTACACATATGTATGTGTTAATCACCTCAATAAATGTAAGTGAAAATGGAACAATAATTATGGTAATTAACCATGGTGCTAGAAATACTTAATATATTTATCTTTATCATGTTTTCTAAGCAAGAAGCTGATAATTGCCTTACCTTACAATAGTTATCAATTTAAACTTGAAAATCTACTCTAAATGACTTCCCAAACAGTAATTTCTGAAAACATGAAAATGATTTGTGTAGAAAAATAACACAAGAAAAAAGTTATTTGACTCATGAAAATTTTTGGTCAAACAGTCTTCCTGAAATCCCTGCTGTTTTTTGTTGTTTTTTTTAATAACATTTTACATGATTTAATTTTATGATTAAACCTGTGTATAGAGCCTCTCATTTGAACAGGAAGAAGTTTTTGTAGAAAGGGGTGTCCTTATATGATAAACCACAGATGCTTGGGGGTTAGATCCTGTCCCCAACATGATACCCCTGAGTAAACACTTTTATCAAAAAATATTTTAATATTTAAAATCAAATGGGATATCTGGTACAACTATAATACTGGTTTTCGAAAAAATTTACATAATCATATGCAAAAAAAATACTGTTTACCATCATGTATTGAGACTTGATTCAAGGCAGGTAGGCGAATTGGTTGGGTCATTTTTGGTAACAGTTTTCTCAGCAACTACTCTAGAGAACCTCATAATATTTATCATACAGCATTAACACATTGTTCCATACCATGGGTTTCGATTTCAAGCCTGTCACTCATTCACTTCATGTTTACTGACTTAGTTAAAAAATGGTCAATGGTAGGAATTTTTCGTAACAATTTTCTCAGCAACTAATTATCACAGCCTATACAGCATCAACATGTAGTCACATACAATGGGATATGATTTCGGGTATGTGGCTCATTCACTTCCCGTTTGATGACTTAGCTAAATTTTCGGCATTAATTGTAAATAGAAGGACATTTCCGTAACAGTTTTCTCAGCAACTACATAACAAAGCCTCTTGATATTTGGTAATGTGACTGCATTAATATGTGGTCCCAAGTTCAGGTCTATCCCTTATCCACTTCCTGTTTACCAACTTAGTTAAATGTTCAACATTAATGGTCGATGGTAGTACATTTTTGTAACATCACAGACTCATAAGTCATGTTATTTGGTATACAAATGCAACCCGGCCATTTTTGTCCTTGACCCATTTTTATTGATGTATTATCCAAATTTGTACTTCGCCTTGTTAATTATGATATCACTGTTAAAATGTTCAGGATGTAAACACACTACAGGAAGTGTATTTTTTAGCAACCTATATGTATACTTTAAAGAAAAGAAAAAAGAGGTATTTCTATACACTTGATTGCATTCCTGTTGCTGTTGGCTAAAAATACTTTACATTTGGCACTAACTAAATAACATTAAAGTATTTTATAAACATGTTGCTTGTTTTAAATAAGAAAAATCCAGTTAAGATCTATTCCTTAAGGTGAGCGATATAGGGCCATCATGGCCCTCTTGTTTAGTAAGTCATGTTTCATAATATCATACAAACCATTTTTTTAGTAAGGCATGTTTCATCATATCATACAAACCATTCTTTATTAAGTCATAATTCATAATATCATACTAACGGCTCTTAAGTAAGTCATGTTTCATGATATCATACAAACCGTTTTTTAGTAAGTCATATTTCATAATATCATACTTACCGTTCTTTACTTAGTCATATTTTATCATATCATACAAAACTGTTCTTTAGTAAGTCATGCTTCATAATATCATACAAACCGTTCTTAAGTAAGTCATGTTTCATCATAACATACAAACCGTTTTTTAGTAAGTCTTGTTACATCATATCATACAAAACATTCTTTATTAACTCATATTTCATAATATGATACAAACCGTTCTTAAATTAGTCATATTTCATCATAACATAAACACTGTTCTTTAGTTAGTCATATTTCATCATATCATACAAACCGTTCTTTAGTAAGTCATGTTTCATAATATCATACAAACCGTTCTTTAGTAAGTCATATTTCATCATAACATATAAACCATTTTTATTTGTTTGGGTCGTCAGACCAAACAAAGAATGGTAGCGAAATTTCAGACCCTGGCGCTGTTAATTGCAAATGCCGAAAGTAGTCCGCTTTTTTGAAGCGTTTTTTCCCTTTATATGCACACTAAAGCCGAAAAATTTAGGGGAGATCACTGCGTAAAGAATGTCAAAGGACAGACGCATTTATTTTCAAGCAAAATAGTTCCTGAATGGTCGATAATTTCTAGTATTGTTTTATTCTTTATAGATATACATGTTTATAGTTAGCTACATGATTATATACATCTGTGTTAAACAACAGGTTTTGCGTTGAAATTATCATTTAGAATAATATGGTTTTCTTCATGTCAATAACATATAACTTCACCGTGACCGAGGGGTTTGCACGCTCGCTTAGGAATCGAGAGGTCTGAAGTTCAAATCCCAGTTGAGGCAACTCATGTTTTTTTTAGTCAAATAAACATTGAATTGAATATCAGTGTTGCAATTAGTCTTATAGCCAATTTACTACAGTCAAAACACTGGAAAGCATTGATGGCACTATACAAAAACAAATTGGTTTATAATCTCACTGACATTCTGAGACCCAAACAAATTCAGCGCCTTCTGTGCTTTGATTAAGTAAGTCATGTTTCATCATATCATAAAAGCCATTCTTTATTAAGTAATATTTCATAATATCATACAAAACGTTCTTTAGTAAGTCATATTTCATAATAAAATACAAACCATTTTTTAGTAAGTCATGTTTCATCATATCATACAAACCGTTCTTTAGAAAGTAATATTTCATAATATCATACAAACCATTTTTTAGTAAGTCATATTTTATAAATTTCATACAAACCGTTCTTTAGTAAGTCATTTTTCATAATATCATATAAAACCGTTCTTTAGTAAGTCATAATTCATAATATCATACAAACCGTTCTTTAGTAAGTCATATTTCATAATATCATACTTACCGTTCTTTAGTAAGTCATATTTCATCATATTATACAGCCGTTCTTTAGTTAGTCATATTTCATCATATCATACAAACCGTTCTTTAGTTATTCATGCTTCATAATATCATACAAACCGTTCTTTAGTAAGTCATGCTTCATAATATCATACAAACCATTTTTTATTAAGTAATATTTCATTATATCATACAAACCGTTCTTAAGTAAGTCATATTTCATAATAAAATACAAATCATTTTAAGTAAGTCATGTTTCGTCATATCATACAAACCGTTCTTTAGTTAGTCATATTTCATCATATCATACAAACCGTTGTTTAGTAAGTCATATTTCATCTTATCATACAAACCATTCTTAAGTAAGTGACGTCATATTTCATCATATCATACAAACCGTTCTTAAGTTAGTCATATTTCATCATATCATACAAACCGTTGTTTAGTAAGTCATGTTTCGTAATACCATACAAACCGTTTTTTAGTAAGTCATGTTTCATCATAACATACAAACCGTTCTTTATTAAGTCATGTTTCATAATATCATACAAACCGTTCTTTAGTAAGTCATATTTCATAATAAAGTACAAACCATTTTTTAGTAAGTCATATTTCATAATAAAATACAAACCATTTTTTAGTAAGTCATGTTTCATCATATCAAACAAACTGTTCTTTAGTAAGTAAAGTTTCATAATATCATACTAACCGTTCTGTAGTAAATCATATTTCATAATATCATAAGATAGCAGTCTTTGACTTGTTCCACTGTAGTTTTAAGGATAAATAGACCAAAAAATAGCACAATTTTAAATATCAATGATACATATTTTATCACATAACCGTGCAGCTTAACGACTCCGTAAAAATGGTATTGCACAGCCGTGACGTCATTTGCGTTATACTAGCATAGTGTAATGACACGCTAAATGTAAGCGTTATACTATAGGTGCGTAAATAAAAAATATATTTTTTCACTTCGAACGGTCTTTATTTTTGGAATGTGATAAATAGAATATTAAATTCGTTTAAGTTCATTACTGAATTTATTAAACTCGTTGAATAAAATAATATTATGCTCGTCACGAGTGAATTATGATAATTTTAATACCACAAGATGAAAAGAAATTCCGTATTCTATGTCTATTATATTATACTTTTTCTCTTTTTTAACCTTATGAATAGGAAGAATTCTTTTTTTGTCTAGCCAGACATCAGTGAAAATACGGAAAATACAAAATATTTCACTGCAGTGTTAAATACTTTTTTTACAGTGATAATACGGAAAATAAAAATACGCATTTTATTTCATCAATATTTCTCAATATTTCATTAAAAGATTATAATAGAATATAGTTTTAAGAAATTATATCACGCCAGACCAAATCAAAGTACACTGGTCACTATTTCCGAGCACGTTAACAACAAAAACATAACATATAGGAGAGTATTGAGAAAATCAAAATAGCCCAGGACAGTTTTGAAACATGTTATAAATTCGAGGATATATGTATAATTATTGTCATAGTTAGAGTATTTAATAAATAATTACATTATAGTATAATTTCATCTATTTCCTGTGTGGGAGGTTATTTATATATCCGATATAAGACCTTTAAAATAGAAAGTTATTGAGTCACTCCACCAAGAAACATTCAAAACAATGAACATTTTGGTGCTATAAGTGCATACATGTACATTAAAAAACTTATTTTGCGTTTGATAGACAACTAAGTGATGAAAAGTTCATTGTTCAAGAGTTAATGTCATTGTTTTTACAGATGATGGTTTTGAACCAATCGGAATCTACGTGAAGAAATGCACAGCGACAAATGACAAAGACACCGGTACACCTGGTATAGATGCCGACACGCCGGTTACATTTATTGAAGATGGGTACGTGCTATAATTAAGAAATAATATATCCAAATCAGTGATTTGATCGCTCAATGGAGTTCGAATGCGAAGAATTATATCACGAGGGCGTAGCCCGAGTGATATAATGATGCGCATTCGAACGACAAGCGATATCAAGCGATAAAATCACCGATTTGGATATATTATTTCGATTCTAAAACAACATCAACAAATAAATGCTGCCGTACCTGATTTACCTATATATTATTGCGCCTGATTTGTTTTCGTACTTATTTTCAGCGCGTCACATTTTATGTGGTTACGTCACGTGTATATTAAATACGACACATGTCTAAATATAGAACGTCAAACTGTGATTTTATTGCATAATAACACACACTTTGGGTTCTTCTATGTTCAACGGGGAAAAATGCGGGTCGTGTTAGAATATGCAATAAAATCACCGTTGACGTTCTATATTTAGATATGTGACGTTATCATTATATACATGTGACGTAACCACTAAAAATCCGACGCGCTGAAAATAAGTACGAAAACAAATCGCAATTTTAGCTTAATATCAGGTACGGCAGCATTCATTTTTTGATGTCGTGTTAGAATCGAAATAATATATCCCAATCGGTGATTTTATCGCTTGATAATGTTTGTCATTCGGATGCGCATAATTATATCACTCGGGTTACGCCCCCGTGATATAATTCCTCGCATGTATTTAATTCCAGCTTAGTTTGATTAATTAATTAATGCAGATCATTTCCACTCACGTGAGCCTAATAGGCACGTTAAAGAACGATGGCTGATGAACTTTCACAAACCATGCGCGGTATTGAATTACATGTGTGTTATTCATTTTATTTGATGTCACAGAGCACAAATATTTGTATTTACGAGTAATAACAAATATAATGATAACAAATGTATCATTTAAAAACATTACAGTTTTTATATATTACGTTAATTTATGCTTTCACTGGCACCCGTTGCCACCCCACCATTCTTTTTATAAAACAAATGTTAAAATTGTTCTGGTTAAGCAATGGCAATCTTTACATAAAACGTGCGTTAACGTTGTAATCAGTAACTTAGATGTTCATTGTGGTGATCGTTATACATGTATAATGTCATGTATATGCGTTGTTATCAATAAATGAGGTGTAATAATTTATCATGAAGAACGTTATACAGTATAACTTATATCATGTCCTGTATATGCATTGTTATTAATAAATAAGGTGTAATAATTAATCATGGCAACAGATTTTCATTGTTTGTAGTTGCGGTTTGGGCGTGGATCCAATGGAAATGGTCGGAAAATCTGGGCTGCCCAATGAAAGGGGGTTCATGTATGTCAAAGATTCAACGGATTCAACGTTAGACTGGTTAAGGACGCCGAATTGTTTCCGGTTAGTCATATATGACAATATAACCCGTCACCCTACGACATTATAATTTATAACCCGTCACTCTACTGGGACTGAAAAATATCAGTCTTGCTACCCGTATAATCAGTACGAACAGGGGTTGGAACCTTAAGATTTTGAAATCCCTTAAAAATAGAACTGACTGTTTCTAAATATAAAACAGGAATTTGTCACACATTGAAAAGGTTGAGGGTCTAATTAACTAGAGTACCTATTAAGTTTTGTTACATTATTAAAGGGACTCCACTGAGGTTTAGTGACATGCTGGGACTGAAAATATTTTTTTCAAGATAAATATACCATTCGATGTAGGTTTAGACCACTAATCTTTGTGCATAATTTCCGATCATTCGCGCACTCCGTTTTTCCAGAGTAATTATTTAAATTGTACAAAAACGACCCAAAATGAAAAGCGTTTAAACGCTTTTCACTCAAATCGGGCGGAGAAAAGCATAAAAATACGATTTTCAATTTATTTCAAAGTATATTTCTTAACTATCTTTGCATAGATTTCTGTTTAAAGTGCCCCAGCTCATTTATGTAAGACATTCAAATATCATATTTTAGGCTTTTAAGCCTCAGTGGAGTAGTCTTTAAAAGTGTAGAATTCGACTGAAGAGTAAACTGATTGGTATGAATATATAAACAAAAGTATAATTTTGTATGAATTTATGTTAACTATGAGACTGTATTTTCTCTTGTCCTCAATATAAGTTTGAAACTAGAAATCAACTCCTGTTTAATTTAAAACTGTTTTATTATTTTATGTTTTATTAAAAATCTAATGTTTAATTAAAAGTCATATAGTTTCGACTCAAAAGTCTTCATCAGGTTTACAGGAAACGTCCTAAAAACATGTATGTTTGTAAACATTGGCTAATATTTTTGATCATCTGGCAAATTTTCTAAATGTATTTCATCTATGATATCATAGTTATATCTATTCTGTATTCCATGCATGGTATCATAGTTATATCTATTCTGTATTCCATGCATGGTATCATAGTTATATCTATTCTGTATTCCATGCATGGTATCATAGTTATATCTATTCTGTATGCCATGCATAATATCATAGTTATATCAATTATGTATTTCAAATATGATAACATTTTTATATATATTCTGTTTTTCACTTATGATGACATAGTTATTTATTTCATGCTTTCAAGTGTTTTATTGTAATATATCAGATGATTATATTCTGATAAACCACTAGTGAAATTTATAAAAAATAATTTTCACAGTAGCCGGACTATATCTGAATGCGGATGAATAGAAAATCATAACGAAATGGAATAACAGGCAGAAATAAATGCTGTCATGCGCAAATTTTGCTTCTTTAGGAAAAGAAAGGAAAATAAAGTCGATGTCACCATACACCATATTAAAAATGTAACAAAATTAGACAAAATTTAACAGAACTATATTTCAAAATTAATGATGTGACGTCATGATGTGATGACGTCACAAAGAAGAATGCGCGACGTTACGCGGAATCTGGTGTTCACTCAGTGAAATTATATTTCAATCTTACATGCAAAACAAACAAATATCCTCTATGTAATATCTATTCTGTATTTCATATATGCTGTCATATTTATATCTATTCTGTATTTCATATATGATGTCATAGTGACATCTTTTCTGTATTTATGTATGATACCATAGTTATATCTTTTCTGTATTTCATATACAATATCATAGTAATGTGTATTCTGTATCTCATATATGGTATTTTAGTTAAATCTATTCTGTATTCAATATATAATATCATATTTTATCTATTCTGTATTTCATACATGATATCATAGTTACATATATTCTGTATTTCATGTATGATATCATAATTATATCTCTTCTGTATTCCATGCATGGTATCATAGTAATATCAATTCTGTTTTTCATATATGATATTATAGTTATATCTATTCTGTATTCCATGCATGATATCATAGTAATATCAAATTTGTATTTCATATATGATACTTTAGTTATATCTTTTCTGTATTCCATGTATGATATCATTGTAATATTTATTCTATATATCATATATGATATCATAATTATATATTTTCTGTATTTAATATATGATATCATAATTACATGTATTATGTATTTCATATATGACACAAAGTGATATCTATTCTATATTTCATATATGATATCAAACTGATATCTATTCTGTTTTTCATATATGATATCATAGTTATATCTTTTCTGTATTTCATTTATGATAACAAAGTTATATCTGTTCTGTATTTCATATATGATATCAATTCTGTATTTCATATATATATGATATCAAAGTAATATCTATTCTGTATTTCATGCATGATATCATAGTTATATCAATTCTGTTTTTCATATATGATAATATTATCAGATTTATATCTATTTTGTTTTCCTGTCATGATATTATAGATATATCAGTTCTATATTTCATGTATGATATCATAGTTATATCTATTCTGTATTTCATATATGATATCATAAGTACATCTATTCTTTACTTCATAATTGATATCATAGTAACATCTATTATATATTACATGTATTATATCATAGTTATATCTATTCTGTATTTCATATATGATATCATACAAATATGTATTCTGTATTTAATACAATGTATATGATATCATACTTATATCTTTTCTGTATTTCATATATGATATCATACTTATATATTTTATATATTCCATATATGATATCATGGTAATATATATTCTGTATTTCATATATGATATCATAGTTATATCTTTTCTGTATTTCATATATGATATCATAGTTATATCTTTTATATATTTCATACATGATATCATAGTTATATATATTCTGTATTTCATGTATGATATTATAGTTATATCTTTTCTGTATTTCATATATGGTATCATAGTTATATTTTTTATGTATTTCATATATGATATCATACTTATATCTATTCAAGAATTAAAAATTATTCTCTCTGTTATGATATTTACTATACATGTTACATGATCAGGTCTTTTCCTACGGAGGCCGTGTCATTTGCGAGAGCTATTCGTGATGCTGTCGCCCGAACTGTCTACAAGTGTGAAATTGAATACTGTTTTTCCTCGTCTGACACGAAATGTTTTGTAAGTTGTTTTTTTCTTCTCAAATTTTTTTTTCAATAACGGTTATGATACTGTGCAATTTCTCATTTATTATGCTTCCCGAAATATTTCGGGGGAGCATATAGTCGTCGGGTCGTCCGTCCGTCCGTCCATCCGTCCGTCCGTCCGTACGTACGTACGTCCCGAATTCGTGTCCGGCCCATAACTTTGTTATTTGAAGTCGGGTTTCAAAACTATTTCACAGAAATGATCACCATATTGAGACGATGTGTTGCGCGCAACATTTGGGTCGCTACCTTGAAGGTCAAGATCACAGCATGGCCTTGCAGCAAAATCGTGTCCGGCCAATAAATTCATTATTTGAAGTTTGATTTTAAAAATGTTTCACAGAAATGATCACCATATTGAGATGACGTGTCGCGCGCAACAATTGGGTGGCTACCTTGAAGGTCAAGGTCACAGCATGATCTTGCTGCAAAATTGTGTCCGGCACATAACTTCATTATTTGAAGTCGGATTTTACAACTATTTCACAGAAATGAACACCACAATAAGACATTGTGTCGCGCGCAACAATTGGGTCGCTACCTTGAACGTCAAGGTCACGGCATGACCTTGCAGCAAAATCGTGTCCGGCCCATAACTTCGTAACTGGAAGTCGGATTTAACAACTATTTCACACAGATGATCACCATATTGAATCGACGTGGCGCATGCAACATTTGGGTCGCTACTTTGAAGGTCAAGGCCACAGCATGACCTTGCAGCAAAATCATGTCCGGCGCATAACTTTGTTATTTGAAGTCGGATTTTACAACTATTTCACAAAAATGATCACCATATTGAGACAATGTGTCGTGCACAATATTTTGGTTGTTTTTACACTTTGAACTTTGTCTGTGACATAACTCTCACGCAACAAGAGGTATACCTTCCTGTGCCCAAAACCTATTCGGGGATCATCACCCGGTTCAACCGGCTCTTGTTTGTCGAATATTTAACTTTAATCCTCGAGAGAATCAAAATTTATGTAAGCGGGTTTTATGTATTTTACTGAACACATTGATAATAATTTTTACTGAACACGTAGATAAAAAAGTTGACTGAACACGTAGATAATAAATTGACTGAACACATGATAATAAATTTTACTGAACACATAGATAATAAATTTACTGAACACATGTTAATAAAATTGTCTGAACACATAGATAATAACCTTGACTCAACACATATATAATAAACTTGACTGAAAATATAGATAATAAATTTGACTGAACACATAGATAATACATTTGACTGAACACGAGATAATAAATTTGACTCAACACATAGATAATAAACTTGACTGAACACATAGATAATAAATTTGATTGAACGCTTAGATAATAAATCTGACTGAACAGATAGATAAAAAACTTGACAGAACACATAGATAATTGATTTGACTGAACACATAGATAATAAATTTGACTGAACACATAGATTATAAATTTGAATGAACACATATATAGTGAATACGATTGAACACACAGATAGTATAATTTTTGAACAAACAAATTTGTCTGAACACACATTTAGCATATGTGACTTAACACACAGATTGCAAATTTGACCAAACACACAGTAAGTGTTTGTGACTTAACACAAAGATAGCGTTTGTGACTGAACAGACAAATAATGTATGTGACTGAACACACAGATAGTGTATCTGACTGAACATAAAGATCGTTAATCATCTTCTTTTAACACGCTACCAAGTTTTTCATATAATTACCTTTTTGTCAAAACTTGTCCCCGCCCCGCGGTCGCTTGCTTTTATATTGAAAAAAAAAATCATTTAAAAATATCCTTTATATCTACAAAGCATAGCCTATAGATATTGCGTGTGTGGCATTTTTTCAAATCATGACTCTGTGGTCAAAGCTGGTCCTATCCCCAGTTAATAGATTTTTCTTAAGTGTTTGTACTTAACTCTTTAAAATCTTTCCCTAAAGTTGTTTCTGTTTCTGTTTCTTGAAAACTATTTAGGGTACAAAAACTCAAGAAAGAATTGGTTACCCAGCTTGTGCACGTAAGAAAAGAGAGGCTAATGACACGGTCACTGGATTTACCCGCAACACAGCTGGGTATCCAACAGAAGTATCGGTGGCGGTGAGCGTTTCGTTACCAGGTAACCTTTCTAATAATCTATAGTTGTGTTACATGCTTACTTGGTAAATTTTTACATTAAATGTGTGCTTCTTTCAGAAATAGCAGACAAGTGCAAAATAAATATTATGTTTGTTAATCAGCATGGTTTTCATAATAAGATATGACTCCGAATTGTTAAATGATATAAGGACTATGTCTCTGACACTAAAGTCATTTACTATAACATACTATACAGCTCTGACACCGATTTAAAACATTTTCGGTCATATTTAAACGGTCGATCCACCCAGATATCTAACTAGTAATTTCTTTAGACTTTTAGACGGTCGGTCAACCTCACCGGCTTACTCAGATATCTAACTAGTAATTATCAATTACCAATTTGTGTCGGCATGGCCAAGTGGTTAACTCATCGGACTGTAATCTTATGATCGCTAGCCGTATGGGTTCAAACCCTGACAGTGGCAAGTCGTTGTTTTCTTGAGCACTCATTGCTCCAGTACTGGTTGATTCGAGGAACGGATTTGAAAGTGTGTTTATAAGCTAATAGCTTCCTACATAATCGAACTAAAAAAAATTCTGTGTAAACCAATTATCAATTTCATTAGACTTTTAGTCGGTCAGTCCACCATGCCGCCTTACCCAGATATCTAGCTAGTAATCACCAATTTCATTACACACAATGTCTGAAGTCAGTTGTCAAGGAGAAATTTAAATTTAACCTTGCCCGAGACTCAAACCAGTAAAATCTGGTTGATAAAAATGTTGGCACGATGTGAATATATTTAAAAAAACAAAACAACAACAACACACGTGTCTCTCAGGCTTCGTCCCCGGGTGTTATTTTAATTCTCGGGTTGCTAATATTACCCCGAGAGACATTGTGTTATTATTAAATGAGCCGCGTCACGACAAAACCAACATAATGGGTTTGCGACCAGCATGAATCCAGACCAGCCTGCGCTTCCGCGCAGTCTGATCAGGATCCATGCTGTTCGTTTACAAACCCTATTACAAGTAGAGAAAATGATAGCGAACAGAATGGATCCTGATCAGACTGCGCGGATGCGTAGGCTGGTCTGGATCCATGCTGGTCGCAAACCCATTATGTTGGTTTAGTCGTGACGCGGCTCATATGTACTTTGCAATCCTGCAGTTTCCTTCAAAGATGATTCTTTTTATCTTTTTACCAATGCTCAATTATGTTATATTTCCGTTTATTTAGGATCTAAACAGGCACATTCCAATTCATGTCCAGAATCAATGATGTTTGTTGGTATATCCACGGTGAGTGTTTCTTTATTTACTTGAACTCTGATAACTTGTTTTAAAATATAGTTACACCTGTTGTCATCCATATATCCACGGTGAGTTTTTCTTCATATACTTGCACCCTGATTACTTGTTCTAAAATTGTCGCACTGTCGTCATGTCGTCCTGTCTCTTGACAAGCACGCCAAATGGCTCGTTATCGTGCGGCGCATTGTCGCCCTGTCGCTTGGCTTCTAAGCCAGTCCTTTGATTTGAACCGAGCCAAGAGGCAATGTGGCATCGCGATAACACGCCGCACGACAACATACCGTTTGGTGTGCATCGTTAGCGACAGGACGAAAGTCCGACAACGGGGCCGTTTGTCGTGTTGTCGCTAGCGCCAACACGTTCCAAATCAGACACCATAAATTACACATATTTTAATTTAACTTTTTTTTTGAGTTCCGCTTAAACCTGTGCTTGGTTGTGCATTTTCTTCCTTCATCCGACGTATTAACGATACTTTAAAAATTATATTCATGGAGGTGATCTTGGCGTCATACTTGGAACAAAAGGATGTTGTGGCCTAGTAGTTTAGTGTTTGTCCTGCAATCCTATGGGGGTCGAGGTCCGAACTCACTGGTAAGTAGTTTTTGAGAAGTGGATTCGAGAGTGGTCTAAAAAACTAAACGCCTTCTTTGCTGTCGAGCATAAATAAAATATGTCGGGACATTTTCGTCCCTTTCCAAGATAAATAAGCGTTAATATGACACTGAGCAAACAAACACCGTGTCACTGAAACGCTTATAAACTGAAACTTTTCTTTTTATTTACAGATACTGAGCGTTGCGTTTTTCGTCACGGTGATACTGTCTGGCGTTCTGATGTACAACATTAGATCGGTCTACTTCAACTCTGATGACAGCTCTATAATAGGAATTGTCAACTAATAATATTTTCTCTCAGATTATGCTTTCGATATGTAACAATAATAATTGTATTCAGTGAATAAAATAAAACGGAACTACATGTGTAGGTAAAATAATGATCAATATGAAATACTGGACTAAAATTTAATATGTTCACGTATAGATAGAGATTTAGCTCCAAAGATTTACGTCACGAGCTTGTTTACTTTCGGAATATTCCGTTTCATTCCGCGTGTTTTAATGTAATGCGTTCAAATGAGCAGGGTCAACAAATGTTTTCTTTTAAAATAAACGCTTCCTGAATATTATATAATGTAATGTATAGAAAAATATTTAATGAGACATTTTAATTACTGTTAACAATATATTGTTATAATAATACCTTCAACATATTTAAATGAACGAAATAAATTAGAAAACATGTTATTTTTCGTATTAATTAATACATTCATTAAGATACTAATAGTATCATAACACAGCATCTTGACATAAGTTTTGATGTAGAGCTATAATATAGTAATTAAATCAAGAAAGCATTAAGATTTATTCTATACTTCAAACTCCTCACAGCGGTTACGTCACGCTTTGATCAGGGGAAGTAACTGCTGCGGGGAGTTTGATTATACTTATCATCCTTTTCATTCCTCCACACGGGAGAGACTTAAACACTTATTTACTTATTACACTTAAGAGGCCGTCGTAATCTTACCGAATGATTTCCTCTAAAATACAGACATTACAATTTGTAAGTACAGTAGAACTTCGGTAAGTCGAAGTTGAAGGGACTTGCGTAAAAACTTCGACACATCGGGACTTCGACTCATGAATCGCTCTCAATTTCATAACAAAATTTCGACCCGTGACTAGTCCTTATTATAAGGTATATAACGAAACCTATTTCACGTTTTTCCATCATTAATCTGATATTCACATTTTACAATGATAAATATTACAATGATAAATATAGCATGTTAAATCACTTTTTTCACGGCTACCCGATGACGTAAACAATAGAGTTGCAAAAGGCGTAACAATACGAAAGGGCGATAACTTAACCAGCTTATAGAATATATTTAACGTGTTATTCTCACGCGACACCGGGTCAAGGATGTTTTCAAATGAAAGTAATTCTTACTGTTTACTTTCAAATACCACCACGGCAATTAAATAAGTAACGATTATATAATCACACTTTTTATCTTTGAACACACGGCTGTGAAATTAACACCTGTCAAACAAGTTAATTGGAAATCATCTTCGCAGCCAGATAAGGTGTGAAAAATGTCTCGAGATCGAAGGTGTCAAAATAATCGAACGACTTCGACTTATTTGTGGTAAATTGCACTAGATTTACTTAACACGGACCACGAAAAAACTTCGACACATCGAAAAAATCGACACATAAAATCTCGACTCATAAATAGGTTTTTATAAGGAATATTTAGAGGGAAAAGTCGGGACTTTCATTTTTCTTCGACACATCGAGAAAATCGACTAATCGAAGTTCGACTCATAGAAGTTCTACTGTATATCATATTTGACGTCAAATTGTTTGAATAAATTAATGATTTATTCATGTTTGGATATTACTGATATTGTAAAAGTTTCCTGCTAACTAAATCACAAAAAAATGTGTACTAATATTAAGTAAATTCCTATAACCGTGTCTGGAAAGATAATACGTTTATTAAAAATACAAAATGAAAAGACTATATACTGTACATAGAACTATGTGAAGAAGGAATATCTCATACATGTATATATTTATTAGATTTATTCATATTTATCTCATTCAGGCCATATCCTGTCAGAAACTAATGATTTATTTCCTTTACAAACGCGTACGATTGCTCTCTTTATAAACAAACACCTTGTCCGCTCTATACATTTCTTCTCTGGTCCAATATAGGAAAAACTTCTCTGGTCCAATATAGAAAAACATTTCTCTTGTCTTATATAGAAAATCTTCTCTGATCCAATATAGGAAAAACTTCTTTGGTCAAATATAGGAAAAACTTCATGAACAGATACACAAGACTTAGTTTGACAATTTTTACATCGTACCGGGATATATTCATTATTGTCATCATTATTACAAGAGAATCATTCTAATTTATCCAAATAGGAAATTATAACATTGACCACCTGGCCTCGAGGTTATAAAACATTTTTACTAAGCACTGTCTAAAATCTCAGGATATTAATTCATTGGGCACATAGATAAAACATATCTAGAATACATTTTTTTTCTTGTATATTTTTCTGCAATAAAAATTTGAGGAAATAACACCATTAGTTAGACAAATATTCGACAAGTTATATGGTCTTGCGGCTCGGGTTATATATGTAGCCAACCGTTTATAAAGGGCCATATAACCTATCAAGAAACATTATGATTCAGCACGCTTTACTTTCAGAGAAAAAACAGAAACTTCATAGATTGTCAGCAGTCGTGTATAACGTTTATATAAGCGAGGTTTTACGCAAGTGTAAAGTGGCTGCGAAGAAATTGGTTAAAGGCCCATTATGCCTTAGAAACGCGTTTGTTTATATTTCTCAAAAGCTTTAAATTTTTGGTATTTCTTTCTAGATTACAAAAAGAGACTCACTGGCAAATTATCAGACTCACCTTTTCTGTTATTTTGCTTTTAACAATTTGTACAATTATAGTGATTTAGTATTTTTACTATTTTGTATGTAATTAATAAAATTGCTTTGTTTACATGTTGCTACTGGTTATGACAAATAATCAAAATATCACAATTAGGACTAGTTTTTAAGGTAAGAAGCATCTAACATGCTCTTAAATCATAATTCAAATGTAATAAAACACATGTTTGCCCTTTGTCAAGGAGTAAAAATTTATTTGTTTCTGAGGCGTAATGTGCCTTGAAGTCAAATGTTTTGTATGGCAATCATACAAGTAGCAAAATGTGATAGTACATGTAGTAGGCTTTCTATTTTGACCTCCGTTCAAGATGCATGTACTTAATTACCATAACTATACTAGGCCTATAAAATCATCGGCAAATTATGATGTAGTAGGCTACTTAAATGTTGTTGCGTGCGTGTGTGCGCGTGCGTGCGTGAGTTTGTAAGCGCCTTCTACTTAAGGCATGTGCATGTGTATTTATTTCTCGGTCCCCCTTTTATTTTGCAGAAATCGTATGAAAAAAATACATTATCACATTAGTGGCCAAGAAATTACGTTATACAATTGAATTTTCACACCTCAATAGTTAATATAGCGATAAGTTATAAAGTGTTTACCAATTGAGTAAGATCACGTGACATGGGGTGTAGACACGAAATTTCGAGCAGTAAAATTTTGGAATAAAACTTGATTTAAAGCATAGTTAAATTTAAAAATAAGTGACAGGAATATTATTTGAGTGACATATAGGATTAATACTTGATGCCTCCGAAGATAAATAGTGATAAAGCGAACTCAGAGTCGAAGAAAAAGCGAGGAAAAAGGAAAGTTATTTCACCGATAAACTTAGATAACACAGACTTTACACACATAACGAGGGAAACCGGTTTGACCAGTGGTCAGGAAACGGACAGTACACAAAGTGTGAGTAAACAAAACAAACGACTTAATACTTCTTCGCCGGACTATTTCAAATTTGGCGCAAAGGCTTATGAAATGGATAACAATATACCATCCAGTATGGCATACACCCCTCCCATTCCGAACCCTTTAAACATGACATTCATGCCACCACAGTCATACATGCCTTTCAATGCTGCCGGTGTACAGAGTATCAGCCCGCCACCTTGGGCTGCTGATTTGATAAACGATATGAAACAAATTAAAAAGTCAATGTCTAAAATTGATAGTATTGAAAAAGCCGTAAATAGGGTATGTTTGAAAGTTGATACATTAGAAACTAAAGTCAAAGACATTGACATACGAGTTGAACAAACTGAAGCATCATGTACATTCATAAATCAGGAAACTGAGGAAAGTAAGAAGAAGTTAGAGTCGGCAAAGCAAGAAATTAAAAGGCTAGGTGAAAAATGTAAAAAATTTCCAGGAAATGGTGAACAATCTTGAAGCAAAAAAACCAACAACTCGAATCAAAAGTTAATGATGTGGAATTTCATGGATTAAGAGAAAATCTTATGTTTTATGGATTAAAAGAAGAAGTTGACGAGGACTGTGAGCTAACGATTAAAAGGTTCATTAAAGACAATCTGAATATAACGGATGATATACAAATTGATTTCGTAAATAGAATTGGTTCAAAAGAAGGAAAGGGACCCAGGCCTATTTTGGTAAAATTTAATCGGCTAAAGGATAGGGAATTGATCCGAAAAACATCTTTCGAACGAAAAGAGCATTTAAAATCTTTGAAAACTGGTGTAGGAGTACAACTCACTAAATCAACTCTAGAAAAAAGACAAGCGTTAAATCATATTATGCGGAGAGAAAAGGCAGCCGGAAATAAGATCAAGTGGATCGGTGATAGACTTTTTGTTCAACATAAAGACAGTGAGGAATTTAAGCAAATTACAAACTAGGGATGTCGAGAGGAGCTAAAGTGTATCTCATGGAATGTTAATGGCTTATTGAGAAAGATAACTGATGATGAATTTATTAAATACATAAATTCGTTTGACCTAATTTTGTTAAGCGAAACATGGATTAGTAAAACACATACATACAATATAGATATCGAAGGATATAGCAGTGTTCATATTTTTGGTAATAAAAGCAAAGGAACTAAGAAAGGTCGATATAGTGGAGGACTCTCAATATATTTTCGTAATAAGTTAAAAAGTAAAATATCTGTTATTGAAAAGAACAATGATGGACTTATATGGCTTAAAATTTCTCATGATGTTTTTGATTTCAATGAAGATGTATTTTTATGCAATTTGTATATTCCGCCGAAAGGCTCAAATGTATTAAATCATAAAGAAGTAGATTTTTTTGAAGAAATTGAAAAAGGTATAGAAAAATATAGTAAATTAGGGAAAGTCTATGTAATAGGAGACTTCAATTCAAGAACGTCCGATTTAAATGATATTTTAGAGTATGATAGATACCTTGATATTGATAATGATGATGATTTAATGGTTGAAATTAGTAATATACCAATACGTATAAATCAAGATAATTGTATTGATAATAATGGAAAAAAATTAATTTCTATGTGTAAAAGTACAGGATATATCATACTTAATGGTCGAATACATGGAGATCAAGGTAAAGGTGACTTTACCTTCTGCTCAGTACGTGGACTTAGTGTAACTGATTATCTTTTATCACATTTTTTGAATTATAGTTTTATTTCTGATTTTGATATTCTAGAATGGAATGAATTTTCGGATCATGCACCTTTATATTTTACCTTTAATAGAAAATGTCGTCTATTTAATGATCAGACATATAGCAGGGTTAAAGAAAATGTTACTGAAAACAAAATAATTTGGGATAATGACAAAGTAAAAGATTTTTTAGAACTTCTACTTGCAAATAAAACTGATATAGATTCCTGCGTTGGGATAACTATACTGTTGAAAACACAGACCGAGACACTTTCAAACTATTTGTATTCAAATGCTATGAAAATATTCGGAAAGGATGTCCCTGTTTCGGATATACAAATTCGGACACATAAAAAGTCGAAATGGTTTGATGAATCATGCTTCTTGGCTAAAAAAGAATTTAAAATAGCTAGGAATTTATTTCTGAGAAATAAAACTGATGAAAATAGAATTAAATTCACCAAAAGTAGAACTAAATACAATCTAATAAAGAAAAAAGCAAAAACAAATTTTAAAATTAATGAAGCGAAACGTTTAGAAGAAATTGCAAAAACACAACCGCGTACATTCTGGAAGTCAATAAAAAAATGCTATAAAAGTAAAAACATCTGTGAAGAAAAAATAGAAATAGATGAACTTTACGATCACTTTAATAATCTTTTTGGGGAAATACCTGAAACTAATGATCAAGAATCAGAATTTAGACAAGAAACCAATATTTATGAAAATTTAGATAAAGATATTACCGAGAATGAAATTCGGAACGCAGTATATGGACAAAAAAGTTTTAAGGCATGTGGTCCCGATTGTATATCCGCAGAAATTATTAAGTCGTCGTATGATATCATTTCTCATACTTACTTAATATATTTAATAGATTATTCTTAAATTCTGATTACCCTGAAGCTTGGGGAGATGGATATATTATACCAATATTTAAAGGCGGAGACAAAACTGACGCAAAAAACTATCGTGGTGTAACTTTAAATAATATAATAGCCAAAATATATTCTCAGGTACTTTTAAATAGGTTAACTAAATGGACTATACAATATGAGAAAATTGCTAATAATCAATTCGGATTTCAAAAAGGGAAAAGTACAGTCGATTGTGTTTTCATTTTGCATTCTGTTATTTCAAAGTTATTAAATTCTGGTAAAAAAGTATATAGTGTATTCATTGATTATGAAAAATGTTTTGATAAGATAAATAGATCATCTCTCTGGCAAAAGTTATTAAGTGAAAACGTTAGCTCTAGAATGGTAAACGCAATAAAATCTATGTATAGAACTGTTCGATTACGTATTAGGTTTAATAATAGACTCTCTGAGCCAATTCTCTCACACTTGGGCGTGAAACAGGGAGACCCGAGTTCTTCTTTGATGTTTATGATGTTCGTAAATGATATTGTTGACAATATAAATACTAATCTAGATGGATTATTCACATATGAAAGATTTAATTTTATTTTTAATTTTATACGCAGATGATCAGGTGTTATTTGCAACATCACCAGAATCCTTACAATCAATAATAAATGATAATGAAATATATTGTAATACATGGGGTCTTAAAATAAATTCTTCAACGACTTTAAGAATATGATTTTTTAAAAAAAGGCAGTAAACATACAAATTATGACTTTTACCTTTATAATACTCCATTAGCAAATGTTACTTCTTTTAAATATTTAGGCGTATATTTTTTCAAAAATGCAAATTAGAATAGAACCCAAAAAATGTATTGCAGAACATGCATCTAAATTTTTACATAAACTATTTTCAATTTTGGATAAGTATGAATTTTCTACTAGTGAAAAAAAGTAAATTGTTTGATTTGCTAGTTGCTACTGTACTAAACTACTGTTCAGAAGTCTGGGGAATGAATGCAGGAACAGATATAGAACTTATTCATACAAAATTCTGTCGAAAACTTTTATATGTTAATAAATCAACTAATACTACTGGTCTCTACGGAGAATTAGGGAGAGTTCCTATGATTATTTTTAGAAAAATAAATATGATAAGATATTGGATCCATTTACTGAAATCAGACAACTCTTTGCAAAAACAAATTTATATCATGCTTAAGAATGATGCCAATAATAATATAACATACAATAATTCAAATTGGGCCTTTCATATAAAAAACAATGTTAAACAATCTAGGACTTTCAAATATATGGATAAATCAAGATAATGGAAATTTTACATTTTTAGAAATTAAACAAAGGATATTAGATAATTATTATCAAGCTTGGTATGCAAACATAAACAATTCACAACGTTTACTTACTTACTGTAGGTTTAAACAATCTTTTAACTTTGAAACATATTTAAATTCAATAAGTGAAAGGAAATTTCGGATTGCCTTAAGTAGATTTAGATTATCATCGCATAATTTAGAAATAGAAAGAGGTAGATATCTTAATATAGAACGAACTAATAGAATATGTAAATTTTGCAACCAAGATTATATAATTGAAGATGAGTATCATTTTCTTCTTGTCTGCCCAATATATCGAGAAATAAGGAAAAAATACTTCAAACCATATTTTTGTAGGTGGCCAACTCTTAATAAATTTGATAGACTGATGTCCACAGATAATGAAAGACAATTGTTAAACTTATCAAAATATATATTTTTTTCAAATAAATTAAGGAATAGTTTAGAAATTTGATAATTATTATATTGGTATCGATTTAAATTTACCTATGTCAAACTAGTTTATTTATAGTGTAAGCTTCTCTATGCAGAAAATATTTGATTGCTAATGATTTCTCGTGTCATTTGTCACCTTATGTCAAATGTATATTATGGCTAAAAGCATTGTAATGCTTAATTGCTAAATAAATGTTGTTGTTGTTGTTGTTGTTGTTGTTGTTTACCAATGGCTGACATTCGTATCCTTGCTCGAGGGGTTATGATAAAGAACTTTACACAAACGAGAAGCAACAAAAATAAGTCATACTGTTAAAAAACAATAAAAAAGCAAGGAAATGGTCAAAGTTTATTGAACGAAAGCGTCCTTTATTACGAACGACCGTGATGTAATAGGATGTAGTCTCGGACACTGTCCATTGTAACAGCTTTAAAACACGGAAGTTAGAACAAATAAATTGCTGATTGTTTTTTTCTTGTATTACTTTCAATCATCTGTTTTCTCCATTGGTTTGTATATCTGTCAAAAGAAAAGAAAAAATCACAATAAATTAAATGAAACAAATGTTCCGCAAGTCCATGCTTTTGTGTAATAAGATTCAAATTTTAAAGTCACAATGTGCCTCAGAAATAAATATTTTTCTTATTCTTTAGAAATGTCATGTAATGTTTTAATTATAATTTAATGGATTTAGGGCATGTTAAAAAATGTTTAAAAACAGCTAAAGGTTGTTGTCTGAAATTGCAATAATATGTCTTAAAGGTGGGAAAATGTAAACAAAGTAGTTTTTTGACTTCCATGCAAAATATTAATTCACTATCATTATACCAATTGCCAACAGAGCAAAAGATAGGTTAAGTTTAAAGGAAATGAGAATTTTCTGGAAAAAATAAAAGTTTTTGAGAAATAAAAATGATATGCATTTTGGAGATAAAATGGGCCTTTAGCATAAAGAAATGCTATTTTGAATATTTAATGTATAAAGGTAACTATCATAGTTGTTTCTGTTGAAACAATTATGAATAATAGGCAAACTTAAGCCGCGGGGCTTGTTGTATCTATTGACAGTCTATTTATATGCATCAGTAAGATTTATCGTCTGTCAAATTAATCATCTGTAAAAATTAATCATCTGTAAAAATTAATCATCTGTCAAATTAAATCATCTGTCAAATTAATCATCTGTCAAATTAATCTTGTTTATAAATATACTATATATGTTTCAGATTACATTTACAAGAAAAAAAATTGATATAACTCTGACCTTTCCATTTTGTTCATTTCCAACACTAATTGTGTTTTCTACTTCCGGTTTCTTTTCGTCCTCCCGCCATTTCGTGACTCCTTTAACACGGAAATAGATATACAACATAATGACGATACCCATGGCGACGGATGTCGCTATTGTCCCGTATCCGTGAACAGCATTACGGAAAAATACGATGTCGTAAAGTAGACAAGACTGGCGTTCCCCGCACGTGTATTTCCACAGTGAACAAGTTCCGTCAATAATCCTTCCAAATATAACAGGGCCCGGCATCCAACCTACATAAAATAGCAGTTTTTTATATATAACAAGGCCGGGAACCAAACCTACATGAAAATAATATTTCCGAACATAACAAGACTGGGAACCAAACCTACATGAAAATAATTTTTTCCGAATATAACAAGGCCGGGAATCAAACCTTATGAAAATAATATTACAGAAGATAACAAGACTTGGAACCAACCCTACATAAAAATAATATTTTCAAATATAACAAGGCCGTTAATCACACCTACATTAGAATAATATTTCCGAATATATAACAAGGCCGGGAATCAAACCTACATAAAAATAATATTTCCGAGTGTAACAGGGTCCAGCAGCCAATCAGTATTAATAAATAGAAACAGTTCCGAACATGAATGAGGATAAAATAATGCACAAATAAATTTGCCAATATCAATACTCAGATACTATGTTGTAATTTTGACAGCAAGTTATCATAGTTCTTTTGATACGCAGCTACGTTTTACCCTTCATTTTAAATGAGAGTTTTTTCACATTAAATAATTGTAAATATACATGTATGTCAGTATACCTAGAGCAGAAACTAAAAATCCGGAAAATGCTGAAGCAGCTGCTCTGTCCCTTTCCTCAACGCATCTGTAACAGTAAATACGGTATATATTAGCAAAACACATCTAGTTAATCACAGTTAAATATACACACAAAAAAACTTCATTGTTTTAATTACAAATTTATGATATGAATTAATAAAGAAAATCATAATCTGACGAAACGAAAAAAAGAAAGACAAAAGACAAATATTTAAAAACTGCATATTCAGGGGTTTGAACTGAACTCACGCCCTATCGAAACTGCAATGCCAATCACCTCTTAATTCTTATAATAAAGGGAAGTAACCGCCACGAGGAGTTTGGCATTATGCATGTTCTAGTTCTCTCCTCTGATAAAAAAAAACACTGTTGGCATCATAGTAATTATGCAAATTGGTGAAAAATCAATGATAACGTTCAAATATTATCTAGCAAAGTTTAAAGTAATCATTGTTTTGTGTAATTGCCACTAAATGAGAGTAAATAAATTTTAGAGTACCTAATTTTTGCCAAAAATGTAGGTATAATCTTGAAGGCTGTGAAAAGTTTTCCAACAAACGTGAAGGCAGCGTAAGTGTACAACTTAGACGAGCACCCTTGATCACAGAGTCCAGCTGTAGCCTGACCCGTGCTTATACACGAGCAGTTCATAAATGTCTGAAATAAGAAATGAGCCGCGTCACGACAAAACCAACATAATGGGTTTGCGACCAGCATAGATCCAGACCAGCCTGCGCATCCGCACAGTCTGATCAGGATCCATGCTGTTCGCCATTAGTTTCTCTACTTGTAATAGGGTTGGTAAGCGAACAGCATGGATCCTAATCAGACTGAGCCGTGTCACGACAAAACCAACATAGTGGGTTTGCGACCAGCATGGTTCCAGACCAGCCTGCGCATCCGCGCAGTCTGGTTAGGATTCATGCTGTTCGCTTACCAACCCTATTACAAGTAGAGAAACTAATGGCGAACAGCATGAATCCTAACCAGACTGCGCGGATGCGCAGGCTGGTCTGGATCCATGCTGGTCGCAAACCCACTATGTTGGTTTTGTCGTGACACGGCTCATTTCTTATTTCAGCTGAAAGATCATGTAACACATTTTTTTTATGGTTTTGTATCATAAATACGATGCTCAAATTAAAAATTTTCAATTTTGTAAGTTCCAAAAAGCGTTATTTATAAAGATATTACCGAATTTACATTTCATGTATATAAAGGGAGGTAATTAAAAAAAATAGTTTCTATAAAGTCTAACTCAATTTTTTCGATAAGAATTGAATGCATATATTTTAATGATTACATATAAGATGTACAAATATTTGCAGTACATAATTTGCATATTCTTCGATGTTTGAAAATTGTTTTATAAGCATAATTATATACATATAAATAATTCCTCTTAAGTGTGGTTTACAACCTCAATTACAACATACAGGATCTTTAAATACCTTTACTTGTAATAAAAGTAAACGTTAAGTTATGGCCGTTTGCTTAAGGTCGTTGACTTCAAACCACTTGTCCCTCACTGCTGTGGGTTCGAATCCCGTCAGGGACTGTGGATTCTTTCATGCGAGGAAGCTATCCAGCTAGCTTACGGAACGTCGGTGGTTCTACTTAGGAGCCCGTTCTTGCCTGAAATAATGCACGGAACGGCACCCACCAGTAAATCTAGAACGTCGCCATATGACTTATACTGTGTCGGTGTGACGTAAAATCAATTAAAAACAACAAACAAACAAAAACAATTAAAAATATTTATAACTGTATCCTCAATCAAGAAAAGTGTAAAAAAAATGCTAGTGTATAAATGTCTTATTTTAATTTAGTCGACTATATAGTTAGTAATCACAAATATACCGTAACATCTTTCACCGTGCACCCGGCATGGCAAGGGCTAAAATACGACCGTCCATCATCGCCGCAAACTGGGAAATATTTCTCGTCGTCGCAGACACAACCTTGTACGCACGATTCAACAGGTGTGAACAAGGGGGACAACTCACTTTATAAAAAAAGAGTCTTTAATAGTTTATTACATATAATGTTGGACTAATTAGCCAACCGAGGAAAAATTAGATTAAAATACTAAAGAAATTTTTAATGCTTGTATATAGGAGGAAAAGTTTAAATATTAGATATGAAACTTAATCCAAACATGAAAGTAGAATATCTAAGAATGATATCTAAAAAGAATAAGTAAATAAATGAATGAATAAATAAATAAATAAACAAGCATCTTCCGATAGGTAGTGGATGTGGTTTTCACTCTGGGTCACGGCAGTAAGCCACATTATCACCAGAGCTTACTTCAGCTAACGCATCGTTCCTGGCTGTAAAGCACTTAACCAGTACTAACTGCCTCCACTTTTGCAAGAAACTGAAACTTCTGTACATGCTCGAGCAGAGAGGCACAGTGCGAATGACCGTAAAAAAAATTCATGATAAATCACAGCAAAAGTGACCGGAATCGTCCAGGAATCGAACCCGGATCGTCAGATTCACAGTCAAACGCTCTACCTATTGAGCTATCCGGACGTCTTTTCCTACAAATTTAAATATATGGCAAGAATCGTCTAATGGTAGCTTTAATTCCTTCAGATTTGATTAAATGGCAGCAAGCATATATTGATATGTTTAACACCTTCAAATTTATTCGGAATATCTTGAATCATAGATCTTTTATTATAGTAAGCGTCCTTTTTAACACTATTAGATTTATCATAAAGAAAAAGAATATATATACAACTGGAAATAAGTTAAGTACACACCGGAAATTTAAAATTGGTTGTGATTGAAATCACTGTCACGAAATGACGACTCGATTGACAAAACTTTTTCAAGTGGATAATTTCGGTAAATGTTAACGATAACGTAACCTAAAATGACGTTATGTAGCCAATTTTTTAAGGGGACAGGGGACAAAGCTGAACGATGGCCCCGTCAATTTTTGTTAATAACTTAGACATGATATTTTGAAGGAACTTGAAACTTTTGATATTTCTCTGTCATTGTAATTCTTTCTTGTTTGTGTGTAAAGGAAAGAGCAGTATTTTTGGGTTTTTACCCGAAACAAAGCATTTTGGTAGCTGTGTATGTATTTATGACTCTCCGAATGGAGGTGAAAAAGTTAAAAATCAAGCTTTAACAGTTGGCGCCAAACAAGTAAGAAATTTTGGTTAAATTTTGTGAAAAATCTAAACTATGACAGACACTTTATTGGTCATTTTTGAAATTCCATTCATTGCACTGGTTTAGCGATATTTTACAAAGAATCGGGCGAATTCTTGAGTATGCTGCACCTTCATGAAGATTGTCCATATTGGTATATTTTAGGTGTGATTTTTGGTGGGTGGGGGTAAACATAAATTGCTGTCAGTCATTTATGTAAGGAGCAATGCATGCAAACTATTATTTACTTACATGTATGTCAAATATCCTTGAATAATGCTGTGCAGCATGTTATCAGCCTGTGAAACAGATTTTGAAATATTTGGAATTGTGTTTCTGGCCATACTGAAATACAAAATTGTTCATTTATGGTCCCCTGCCCCCTTAATAACGTGTTGTAATCGCCACGTGCCCGGATGATAGCCTCAAACCTTCTCCTCATACTATCGAAAACTTAATAAGGCGCTTATACGATTTTGAGGTAAATTTTGCTATTCTTAGTTCAGAGCTTGTTCCAGTTGTTGCAGATTGATTAGGCCTACAGGTGGTTCGTCCCTTTACCCAAATAACATTTAAATTTTCGGTTGTTGTCATGTCAAAATTGAGGCAAAATGCCGGGGGTGTGCATAATTTATTTCCATGTGTATATATAATTATATGAGCCGCGTCACGACAAAACCAACATAATGGGTTTGCGACCAGCACGGATCCAGACCAGCCTGCGCATCCGCGCAGTCTGATCAGGATCCATGCTGTTCGCTATTAGCTTCTCTACTTTTGTAAGCGAACAGCATGGATCCTGATCAGACTTGGCGGATGCGCAGGCTGGTCTGGATCCATGCTGTTCGCAAACCCATTACGTTGGTTTTGTCATGACGCTGCTCATATAATAATACCTTTTGCCATTATCTCCAACCAAAGCTGGCTGATCACATCCGAGAAGGAACCCACTGCACATACATATAAAATTTAACAGATAGAAAAATATCAATAATTTTAATGTAGTCTGTGGGGTCATCTCAATTTTACGTGACATCACACCTCCGAGAAAAGAACCCAGCGCCACAGCCGATATTGAACTTAGAGCTGAAACAAATAGGGAAATAAATACTTTTGGTAGGCCATCAAAGAAAAGTAAAACGTTGTTGTTACTGTCGAACAATTATTAAGGCGGTGCTACGGGGGAACAAAGAAAAAATTAATATAGTTTGAAATTGTTAACAAATGACAATTTATTTTTGACGTTTATATCACGGTGCAGAAATTTTCACTACTAAGGAGAAAAAATGTGTAAAGGGCCTGGTACTCCAAGGGTCCGGGTTCAAGTTCCGACCAGACTGCATACTTTAACATTTGGCGACCAACGTAGTAACGTGACTACATATAGCTCAGATTTTAATCTACATTACTCTGTAACCCTGAGAAATTCGAGGACGAGTTTCAATATAGCTGGGGAGTATGTCATGGTTCAGAACTGTTCACTTTTAGGATAGAAGATGTGTAAGTGGTCGGATAGGTCAGTCGATAGAGCCATGGAACGGTATTCCGAGAGTTCCAGGTTCGAGTCCAGTTTAAGCTTCACTTTTTTTATCACCCTGTGACATTAATAACAATCCAAATACAAAGTATGCCTCAAATGAAGGTTCAAGCAAGACATTGTTAAACATCTCATTACCATTACTTTATATTTAACTTCCTCTAGCATGGAAGGTAACGTGACTCTCAATACAATCGTCTTTGCTTTAAATAGAGCTTACTTTTGAACATATTGGAATTACAAGTAAGCGGCTATGTTCTGTTAGGGCAAGCACCTTTTTCCCTAAGGACTCAGAGCGCAAACCAAGGCATTAGAATGGTGACAGTTCAACAGGACGATGGCGAAGAGCGAAAGTTCAGTGGAATTAAAACTGCCACCATTGCAATGTCGCTATCGTACTGTCGTGCTTGGCTATTGTACTTTCGTACTGTCACCATTGTACTGTTGCGCATGGCTATCAAAGTTTCGTACTGTCACCATTGTACTGTCGCGCTTGGCTATCGTACTTTTGTACTGTCACCATTGTACTGTCGCGCTTGGCTATCACTTTCGTACTGTCACCATTGTACTGTCGCTCTTGGCTATTGTACTTTCGTACTGTCACCATTGTACTGTCGCGCTTCACCATATCATGTAGTACTAACGTCTTGTTACTACCGTACTGTCAAGGTTCCCCCATTGTGTTATGTCCGCGTTTACATGTAGATTGCGCTGAACCTACCGAAACACATTAAATGTTGGCATGCTGTTATCTAAAATAAATTATTCTTACCAAGTATAATGTTCGCCTGCCATAACGGGATCGTGTATTGTGCAGCAAGATATTTCGGCATGAATGATAAAACTCCAGCCACTCCTATTATGTTAATACAGGACGATATGGTTATGACCATGTACACAGGGTTACGTAAAACACGCCCGACTGTTTGTCCAAATTCTGAAAAAAATAATTATTTATCATATTCAAGATAAAAGATTTTAGAATATCGATGTATTTTATTTACAGAGCATTATATACCGGAAGTGATAGTATTATATACCGGAAGTGGTAGTATTATTTACCGGAAGTGGTAGTAGTATTTACCGGAAGTGGTAGTATTATATACCGGAAGTGGAAGCATTATAAACCGGAAGTGGTAGAATGATATACCGAAAGTGGTAGTTTATTTACGAGAATGATATTTTTAAATGTAATTATAAGGCTACATTGACTTAATACTTGTTATTGGTACTAATGTAAAACTCTCGGAGAGTTTAATACCTTTCAGTTCATGCTTCAATGTTTTGGACGCACTCCTTTTTGCAGCTGGCTTCATCTGTTTCTCCGATATTTCTAAATCTTTCATTCGGCTTTTACTTCTTAGCTTACGAGGGAAACACATAATTGGAACACTGAATAGTATTGCAAATGACCCGAACACAAGAAACCCCAGCCACCACGCCCCTATCCATCGTGGATCAGTGGGTGTGATACTGACCGCTGAAAATATTCATATTTTATTGGACAAAAAAGTATTTAAATTTACTATACGATTTTATAAAGCATAATACTTTTATTGTTGTTAATTCCCACATTTCAGTCTGTAAGTCAAGTAGTTTAAGAAACTTACACGTTATTTGCCTTACAGACATCATTACGTATAGCTTAGTAACCATTAGTAAGTATTTACAAAATTAAATTGGTCGAGTACTGCACTGCTATGGTGGTTTTTTGGTACACTGCGAGTTGCGTTGTCGTTAACATCCTTTATTGTTATCTCCTGTTCGCCTTGTCGCTAGCGACAAAACGCCAAACGGCGCGTTGTCGCACTGTCGTCTTGTCGTCCTGTCTCTAGCGCACGCCAAACGACATCGCGATACTGCGCCGCAAAACAACGCGCTGTTTGGCGTACGCTAGAGACAGGACGACAAGACGAAAGTCCGACAACCCGCCGTTTGGCGCTTTGTTGTGTTGTCGCTAGTGCTAACACGACGCACAAAAGCGCTCCAAATTAGCTACCATAGTACTGCGGTACAGAACAAACCAACTAATATCTTTATTTTATACCGAAGAAACGCTACACGTGACGCTATAAAGTTATCTAAGAAATGTCCGATTCTACAATACGTTTTCATTGGCGATTTCTGACGTCATTCAGATACAGTTAAAGATTAGGTAAAGATTTTACGCACTCAACTGTCCATTATATGCCAGTTTGCAATTGCGCTGTCATGCCAGCAATTAGATGTATTAAAGATATATTATGCTCATCTTAGAGTAAAATATTTTTATCCGAGAAATTAATAGAAATATATGTAATTCTTTCTGAATATGTTTAATAGTAAAAATGAATGTACAAACTGTGTGTTGGAAGCTGCATATCTTATTATAGATCAGGTAAAGTTTGTCCTTTCTTAACAAAAATAGCCAGGTTTTTTTTAAAGAACACTATATATTCTTATTGTGTCAAACATAAGATATCTACTTTGTGTGTAGTCACAACATGCATATTCTATATTTAAAAGAGTCTGTGTAGCAATTATCAATATTTGAAATTATAAACTTGAGCATAGTATATCTTTAACTCTAGAATCAAGTAAATGTTGCTTATAAAAGTACTTATAAACGTACGTTCAAGCGTGACATATATTTTACTAAAGAGGCCACCCAGCAGATAAGCAAGTGCCGGACCAAATATTCCGGTACCAGTCAAAATTCCCATGTAAAAACCAGTTTTTCGTTTGTCGACAGCGTCATCCACATATAAGGTAACAAATGGATAACGGACAGATTTTCCGACGCCTTGAAATACCTGCAATAGGAAAGCGGTAACGACTCTAAAATTGTATTATGTATTCTGAGATATAAAGAGTAATAAATACAAAACCCGCGTCCTTGACCTTTTGAACATGCAAATGAAACATGATTAGTTAGCTCTTGTCATCTGGTGGAACATGCCATTCAAACATTGCTAATTTGGAATGTTGGCAGAACATGCAAATCAAATATGGCTCTTTGGAAAGTTGGCAAAACATGCAAATCAAATATGGCTATTTAGTCCTTGCCAAGGAGGCAATACGAAAATTGTTGTTAAACACTTGACCAAGCTGACAGATCATTCCAGCCGAACATGGTTGCTTACCACTAACCAAGTTTTTCGAGAGCATAAAATCAAACATGGTTGCCAAGTACTTGTCAAGCGTTCAGAGCATGTCAATCATATATGATTGCTTACCACTTGCCAAGTTGTAAGAGAGCAAGGCAATAAAGATATTACCCAATACTTGTCAAACTGACAGGAAACATTGTTCTTCATGTCTTTATTTTACTTAAAATATATTTATAAAAAGTTATTATTTCTTTTACATTTTATTTAACAAAAACTGGTTAACAAAAGAAAAAAAAGGGATAAATTAGACGAAAAATAAATTATAACATTCAAACCAGAAAACAAAACAGATTTAGAAATTCATCAATTTATACGTACCATCCCTACAGCAATGAGACAGTAGGCAACTTTTTTGATATGTAGTTGTTCCATGTTCGCCGTGGCTTGCGCACTTCCTTCAGCCGCGTTACAACTTCCGTCGGCGTTCATAGTCTCGTTCTGACATAGAGGCACCTTCCGGCCGCCTGCAGCTCTTACAACCGACACGTTTGACATTCCGATATTACTTGATCTACTTTCAATATCGTATGAAGAATGGTCTTGTAAAAAGTACGGCAGTGCACACATTATTCCACATACGCCAAACAAAATAGTGCTGATACCCAACCCTCTAGGAATATGTACCTTTAATATAAAATATCTTGTCGCTGAGGATTTCTTAAAAAATACACAGGTCAGAACCCTTGATACGATATGAAAACAACACTTACTGAAACATCGTTGTCATTATATTATTATCTTAAAAATGACACAGGTGAGAACCATTAAAACATCGTTGTCAGTATTGCCATAGATATTTACTTGAAAGAAATGTAGTCATTTCCATGTTTGTTTTTATTGTTTTCCTTAAGAACATTAAAATAGTTTTCCTATTGCTTTGTTAATATAATGCCAATATGGATCAAGACATTCGAGGGCCGAGCAACATTTGTAAAATATCCAAACTTGGCTTATCTTCAGAAATTTTTTTATTTAACATCGAATATTTAAATCAATTCAGATGCTTTGATTTTAAGTGATAAATAATTTGCTCCTATTACGATGAGGCCGAACAATAATACACAAACTTGGACTTGTGTACATTATTGTTTGGGATCATCCCTTCTTAGCGATGTACCTAGTAAATTTTACACTTGTCAGAAGCTTATTTAATTACCTTTCTAGCGATGTATCCAGCAAATTTTACACTTTTTAATTACCTTTCTAGCGATGTATCCAGCATATTTTGCACTTGTCTAATTACCTTTCTAGCGATGTATCCAGCAAATTTTATACTTGTCTAATTACCTTTCTAGCGATGTATCCAGCAAACTTTACACTTTTCTAATTACCTTTCTAGCGATGTATCCAGCAAATTTTATACTTGTCTAATTACCTTTCTAGCGATGTATCCAGCATATTTTGCACTTGTCTAATTACCTTTCTATCGATGTATCCAGCAAATTTTATACTTGTCTAATTACCTTTCTAGCGATGTATCCAGCATATTTTGCACTTGTCTAATTACCTTTCTAGCGATGTATCCAGCAAACTTTACACTTTTCTAATTACCTTTCTAGCGATGTATCCAGCATATTTTTGCACTTGTCTAACTACCTTTCTAGCGATGTATCCAGCAAACTTTACACTTTTCTAATTACCTTTCTAGCGATGTATCCAGCAAATTTTATACTTGTCTAATTACCTTTCTAGCGATGTATCCAGCATATTTTGCACTTGTCTAATTACCTTTCTAGCGATGTATCCAGCAAATTTTATACTTGTCAGAAGCTTATATCATTACCTTTCTAGCGATGTATCCAGCAAACTTTACACTTGCCTAATTACCTTTCTAGCGATGTATCCAGCAAACTTTACACTTTTCTAAATACCTTTCTAGCGATGTATCCAGCAAACTTTACACTTTTCTAATTACCTTTCTAGCGATGTATCCAGCAAAGACAACACATGTCAGGAAGCCTATATCATTACAGCTCATTAGGAGACCAGTCTCCGCACTACTGAATCCAAACTGCTTCTCTAACATTGAAACCTTTCAAATTCAGAGAAATGTTAACGCAAAAGTTATTCGAGATAGTTGTTTGAAAGTGATCATTAAAACCTAAATATCTTTAACGTATCAGCCATTTCTTATTATTATTTTGCTGTAAAACATATTGTGAAAAAAAAAGAATGAAAAAATTGATGTACATTGAACGTAATGTCGACCACAAATTACCATACTGCGTCTATTTTAATGTACATTGAATCTAATGTCGACCACAAATGGTCATATTGCAGCTTTTTCAATAAACATTGAGTCTAATGTCGAAAACAAGTTATTATCTAGGGTCTATTTTAATGGACATTGAGTCATATGCCGACCACTTATTATCATGCTGCAACCATTTTAATTGAACCGGATGTCGAACGCAGATTATCATCCTGTGTCTATTTCAATGTACATTTTACCTTATGTTGACCACAAAGATACAAGAATTTTAGAATTTGTCCAAAATAAGTATAAGATTTGTTTGCAGAATCAAGTTAATTTATTTATGAGGCACCAGCGGGAGTTGGAGACAAACCAAAGAAGAAATAATAAAAGTCCAAGATAAATATTACATAATGTAAAAACTCGGTATTTTGTTTTTCAGTTATTCAATTGTCAGTTTATCAAAATATGACTACAAATTTCATTCTGAATGCCTTTTACTAGCAGTACTACATGTATATGGGAGTTAATATGAAAGTTTGTATAATTTTGCGATATCTTTAAAAATAGTCATTCACCATTGTTGAAACTTGACACACAATCTATCAGTTACATCGTTTTAACGGAAACGACACCTTTTTGTTTCCTATCATTTAATAATTGGTTGCTGGAAAAGAAATGACGTTGATAAAAAAAACATTCAGTTGTAAATTGTAGTAAGGTTTTGTGTAAAGCTTAATTGATAGCCAGCATGACGTAGTCCAATTGAAGTTAGGGCTTTTCTAGATATTAGGAGAGTTTGAGGGGGAAAAGGTTGATTCCACTTCTGAACTTGCAAAACAATCTCAACAGCTGATATTCATTCAAAGAGGTATTGTTTATTGAAACTTAGAAACACATAAAGTGCGTGCATTTCACTGGCGACAAAGTAGAGAAAGTACGGCTTATAGTAAATTAAGCAACGTCATTTTTGTATTGACGTTTAATAACGCTACTGGTATGGGTGACATGCATGTTTGTCTAAACTGTAAAAAATAGTTTTAGCATTTACCTTATTAAATGTACACATATATGTATATAAATGTTGAAGTTTACGAACACACAAGCATATAATTTGTTAAAAGTTCCAGCGATTTGGGGCATTTGATGAAGGAATTATACAAAGTTTCTAAATAACCCTCGAATATTAGAAACTCATTTTTGTTGAAATTAAGTTTTGAGGTGATAATTACATTAAAGACAAAACGGAATTTCTGTGTCTTGAATATTACCTGAGAATTGACGTAAACAGTCAAAGTTGAGGTGAGAAGACCGGAAATACTGTATACACCAATAAACGCGCCGATTCTTGCAAAAACCTGAAATCATGACAAAAATAATATATATAATATTATATACTTATAAATGAAATATTGAAAAATATTGATGAAATAAAATGCGTAATTTTATTACCCGTATTTTCACTGTACAAATTTATTTTTCACTGCAGTTAAACATATTTTCCATATTTTTACTGGTGTCTTGCCGGACTACTTTCTTCTAAATTCAGTCAAAACACAAAGTTAAAAGGGAACTTTTCCCATCTATAAGATTAAAAAAGAGAAATATTATATAATAAACAGAAAATTCAAGTTTTTTTTTTCTATTCGTAACGGATTTATTTACATCTTGTGGTATGAAAATTTTCATATTTCTTTGCTGCTCGATGAAAATAAATCCTGTATTTATAGCAGCAACTTAAATAGAATCTATCCTCTATATATGTGTCACAGGTATGTCACGCCGTTATACCAATATACTCTTAGTACACTAAATCCACGCAATGTACTGTTTGTAATATTGAAACTACTTAACGTGATTTACAATAACTTTGTCACTTTTAATCTTTACTTTTCCTTGGTTAATTAGAATAAACAGATAAGCCACACAAACACGAAAATTCAGTAATTATTTAATTATTAATTGCATACGTTTCGGCTATATGCCTTCATCAGTGCAAAAAATAAAATTACCGGAACTGACGTCATAACGGAACACGCGATAAACGTCTCCTTAATTCTTATTGTTATTTAAATCATTTGAGAATCATTTATTACCAATCATAAGTCAAAGAAGCCTGAGCAAAATTACATATATTATATTGTAAAAGCCAAAGCTATAACTTTATATAATTCAAACGCTACCCGAGTTATAAGACATAAGCTCGGACAAAATCATGTCTTCAGTAACGGTGCAGTAGCGTATGGTAACGCAAGAGAACCTACCCCTAGAAGATTAGGTAGACCGTGTCCCCGTGAATGTTTCGCGTTTTATCTTGATTTCTTAAAAAGCTACACTAAAAGAAATGTGTGATTTTTGTCCGGCAACCGGTCAAACTCCAGTTTCTTTTAGGATTTATGATAAGCATTTTGGCCTACCTGCAAGAATTGTGGGCGGAAAGAACCAAAACCACATTGTGTGTCCGGGTCTGGTTCACACCGGATGTCTCCATTGATGCTTCTCACGTGACCATTGTCGTCTGCTACTGGCGGTAGTTTATCAAACTTCATCGCAGACGATTTATCTGAGTTTTATAGGGAAAAAATAGAAACGTTTATCATACAAGTTCCAGACAAAAGCGTGTCATGCATTAACGGGATGAAAATGAAAATAAAGGTCTCTGCAAAAAAGAAAATAGTCTACGCGGATAAGAAATAACTCCCCAATATACTTACAAGTAAAATGGTTTCCTGCGATGATATAAAGATATTTCATTTAACTATTTTAAACATTATTTGGGGGGGGGGGAGATAAATAAACGTTTGTATCAGGAATATAGTTGACAATAATCGATCAATATAGAAGAAGGTCTTTGATAACTGGTGACCGTTGAAGACCGGAGAAGGTCGAACATAAAACAATTATTTCTTTTAAGAAAATTATTAAATAGGCCTACCATTTTATGAATAATTCCGAGTAAAAAATAAAGTTAACACACAAGTTTACGCAGAAAATATCTCTATTTATTATGGCAGATGCCACTACGAATATTTTAATTTTGTAGATTTTCAGTTTAAACAATTTATTGTTTGTAAAATTTTAGATAGATATTAAAGAAACATTGATAATTTTCAAACACATCATTCAAGTTTTTCCACCTTAAACGGTATAATAATTATAGAAAATTAGAAATATCACGTAATAGTTTTTTGTTCTCAATTAGGTATTATTCGGACTAATTCCCTACAGGTAAATCCGTAACGTACCGGCAAACGGTATTTAGCTGGGTTTTTGAAAAGGTCAATTAACCAATCATATACGGTTTACAGATCACATGCCCCTCCATGTACCGAAAATAGGTCACGTGCTCCTCCATGCCTCAAAAGTTAAACGCGTACCAATACCCTGCGGTCTCCAGACCGCAGGGAATAACAACTTCTTGTCAAAAACACGACAACACGATGGCCAGATCAAGTGAATCTGTCGGCAAAATAAGTGAATCTTTCATCACTTAAAGTGAATTGCTAGATATTTTATGTGAATTGCTCGTTAAGTGTAATGGCCGGCAGTTTTAGTGATCCGCTCGGCAATTTCAGTGAATCGTTCGGCAATTTAAGTGAATCGCTCGGAAGTTTAAGTGAATCTTATGGAAAATTAAATGAATCGCTCGGAAATTTAAATGAATCGCTCGGATGTTTAAGTGAACCGCTCGACAATTTAAGTGAATCTTACGGACATTTAATTGAATAGCTCAGCAATTTAAGTGAATCTTACGGAAATTTAAGTTAATCGCTCGGCAGTTTAAGTGAATCGCTTGAAATTTAAGTGAATTTCTTGGCAATTTAAGTGAATCGCTCAGCAATCTAAGTGAATACTTCGGAAATTTAAATGAATCGCTCTGCAATTTAAGTGAATCGCTCGGCAATTTAAGTGAATCGCTCGGCAATTTAAGTGAATCGCTCGGTCATTTAAGTGAATCGCTCGGTCATTTAAGTGAATCGCTCGGTAATTTAAGTGAATCGCTCGGTAATTTAAGTGAATCGCTCGGTAATTCAGGTTAATTGGCATGCAGCAGTCTATTCACTATTCTCTAGGACCGCTGACGAAAACATGATGATAACCTTAAGTTGTAAATTTATAAGAATATCTCCTGTCATGAAAACTTAACGAACAACATCGATAGTTAAGGCTGAAATGAACGTTTCTAATTTGTGAACGAATAAAGCACTCAGAAACTTTCTTGAAATTTTTAAGAGTAAATTTATTGTCATTTAAAGAAATAATACACTTACTTTGAAGTTTACAGAGACTGGTTCTTGAAAGCACTATTATTACCAACTGAAATATCACCCTAGTTTTGTTTGCATGAAGTCTAATTAATTTCAGTGCACGTTTCCGGTACGTGCCGACTACAACTATTGTAATGACGGGTTACGTAAAGATGTTCTAAATAGAAAAAAATCAAAAGGTTCATAAATATTTCCTAATGACCACTAATTAAATAAATTTTAAACCATTATCATTGAATAAGATTACCTTGTTTTCAATTTGTCTTTTGTTAGGTATCTGCGGTCTGTCTGTCTGTGTTAAAATGCTAAAGCTATATCAATAGATAAAATGCGATTCTTAGAAAGCTCTTTTTTTTATTATTTTTAGTAAATGTATGTTGTCAAAAGGATCTGCTGTGGGGCCAAAAGTAAAAACGTTGTATATATAAATAATCTTTGCCATAAGCTGATCACAAATCGTTACTTAACACGGGACTTAGGATGTTTAGACTCAAGAAGATGAAGTTCATGATGTTGACATGTCCCCACCAGTCTTTCGAAGGTAAAATATCCGCATGCATCAGTTTTGTGGCAAGATATCCGTGTTCTTTTATATGATTATATATACATCGTTACCTTTATTGATAAGACACATACAATGCTGTAGTATAATACAATTTTACTTGTATGTTTTTAATTTGTAACATTTATTTTTGTTGACAAAATAGAGAAAATAAGACTCCCAAAAGAAAGCCCAACACGGCAAAGTTGAGAATGCTGCAGGCCCGGCCCGACCGTGCCATATCATGGACGGCACCACCAAGTGCAACCCCCTCCCCCCCCCCCCCAGCAACGGCCCAAGCATAATCCAACAATTAAACATCAATAGGTCAAATTTTGAAACTAGACACATTTATAGTAATAAGTTAACTATAACAAGGGTAATAAAGGAGGACACATTTATAATATGTAAATTGATATTTGCATACAATTATTCATAATTAGATATTCATCATTGGCTTGTTTATGCGTAGGAATACACCAGGTAGAAAATAATGCACTACTGAGCACATATAAATAAATAGATGTTAACTTAATCTTATTTATATGTTCTTACTTATTAACCAACACTGAGTGACCTGCTACTTAACCCTATTATATTGTCTCTTTCCGAATTTTGTTTGCAACGTGACTGTCTTACGTAAATATGTGTACAGTTCAGTAACTTACTTCTGTATTTATTAAAGCAACATGCCTCCAGATTCATGCTAATTTTCATGAAAATCTTACATTTGTATTGAAAATTAAAATATTGTCAAGTGAACAAAGATTGTAATTTACACATTGCAATAAACACTTTAAAATTCACGTCCCAGAATATGTCGCAAAAACATGAATGATACGTTATTAGAATCACCACGTGACTATATATGATAAATACACGGTATGCTAGAAAGAATACTCTTGCATGTCAGCTATGTGCACGAAATACATGATGTGTCAGGTACAAGTCCGAGTTGCAAAAGCTTATCAATCAGTCAAGCTCGTTAGAAAGATGTAATCATTTAGTTTTGGCAGCAACACGTTACTTGTCGCTATAATGCATAATTATAATGGCTTCTTTGGCCTCCCGTGCATCAAATTAGTGTCATCACAAAAATCGACTTGCATACATATATAGCATTATTCAGTGATTTACAGAATTCAAATTTTATAGGTTACCCTTTGGTAGATTATAACCTAAGAATTATCAGGACATGAATGGTGACGTGTCGGGGGGTTCGAGCATTCAGTCCTGAAGATGCGGATGGACCCCAATTAAGGCTAGAATACACACACTTTACATTTTGGCATTAAAGTACCTTATTACGAAATGCTCACACATCTCAGTGCAATAATGTAGGGACTGACACTGAATTAAAATAGACTTAAAAGTATTCCTTTACGCTACAGGGTCTGTTGTCAAAATGGAAACCCAACGGGAGTACTGTTTGGACTAAAACCATCGTCATCATCATCATCATCATCATCATTATCATCATCGTCGTCGTCACCATCATCTTCATCACCATCATCATTATTATTAAAAAAACAACAATGTCAACAACGCAAAGATTAACATCATTACTTTAAGTTTTTAACAATATAAAAATGACAGCATTTCTGACGGTAACTTAGAGACAACTCATATTACCCGTTTATTTTTTCTTAACTTTGTTAGAAACCATGGTTTGCACTAAAATCAGATGTGTATAGAATAATTTTTAATAGGGTTAGGGTTGGGAAGTTGTTGGCATTATGGGCCACATTAGTATAATTCCTAATCAACAGGCTATATGTTTATCAACAGGTCTTTGACATTGCACTTGATACTTTCCACAAAATTAGAGCAACTTTCTTATCGAACGTTCTTATCTTTATTTCAAAATTGACTGATAAGTGTTCATATATCAGTAGAAATTTCAAATCTTAACTGAGATCTGTCTGTGAAGTAACAAAAATGAAATCTTCTATATTATTTTTAATATATGGTATTTCTGTGGTGAACGCGTTAGTGTTGCAGAGCGGGAAAAGGCATGTTACCAAGGAACTGTTTGTGGCGAATGGAGGGCAGTTTGGCTACTGGTCGGCACCTGAATACTGTCCACCGGGAACGTTTGCTTCTGGATTTAGCATGAAGGTAAGACAACTACAAGGAACATTTACACACCATATTGTTTTATTTTCTATCATTGATTTGAACAGTTCGGCGTTACTTTCGTCATGACTCCGGCGCAATTTCACTTTCCCACCTAATGGATGCTAATGAACGATGGGGGTGTTTATCTATTAATGTGGTACTTTTTTGTAGAATTTTCCTTTGGATAAAAACTAATATAAAAGTTTGCTTATAAGGAAACGTGATTCAGCACTAACATTTCCGTTTATTTAAAGATTTCTTTTCCGTTGTATTAGGAACAAAAATGGAATATAATGAATCATAGGTCAATCTACCGATTTCACTAGAAAACAAATTATATACATGTATATGTATTGTAATCTTTAATTTTTAGATTGAAGCTGACCAGTTCAGCGGGGACGACACGGCATTGAACTCTATTAAGCTGACGTGCACTGATATGTCCGGGCATGCGCAGTTAGGATATCAAGTAACTTCCGGAGAAGGTCCATTCGGAAGTTGGTCATCAGTTGAGAACTGTCCACCTTCGACATATCTTATAGATTTTTCCTTACAAGTTGAAGGGCAGGTAAGTTGCGTAGAACATTTTGTAATCTTATAACTATTTGCTTGCACAGTTCCTGCAAAGGGAGAAAAAAAACCGATTAAATTATTTTGTATTTAACTTTGAATGTCTTTGTAATAATCAGCGACGATGGATTTTAATCAAACTTTCACGAAAAACTTTGTACTCGATTAAGTCTGTATACATTTCCGCATAGGTTTCAAAACCAGTTCTATATTATTTTCACGTTACCAGTTGTATATCATTTTCATGTCACCAGTTGTATATCATTTTCATGTCACCAGTTGTATATCATTTTCATGTTTCCAGTTGTATATCATTTTCATGTTACCAGTTCTATACCATTTTCATGTTACCAGTACTATATCATTTCCATGTTACCAGTTCAATACCATTTTCATGTTACCAGTTCTATACCATTTTCATGTTACCAGTTCTATACCATTTTCATGTTTCCAGTTCAATATATCATTTTCATGTTACCAGTTCTATATCATTTTCATGTTTCCAGTTCTATACCATTTTCATGTTTCCAGTTCAATATATCATTTTCATGTTTCCAGTTCAATATATCATTTTCATGTTACCAGTTCAATATATCATTTTCATGTTACCAGTTCTATATCATTTTCATATTACCAGTTCTATATCATTTTCATGTTACCATCTCTATATCATTTTCATGTTACCAGCTCTATATCGTTTTCATGTTACCATCTTTATATCATTTTCATGTTACCAGCTCTATATCGTTTTCATGTTACCATCTTTATATCATTTTCATGTTACCATCTCTATATCATTTTCATGTTACCAGTTCTATATCATTTTCATGTTACCAGCTCTATATCATTTTCATGTTACCAGTTCTATATCATTTTCATGTTACCAGTTCTATATCATTTTCATGTTACCAGCTCTATATCATTTTCATGTTACCAGCTCTATATCATTTTTATGTTACCAGTACTATATCATTTTTATGTTACCAGTACTATATCATTTTTATGTTACCAGTACTATATCATTTTCATGTTACCAGCTCTATATCGTTTTCATGTAACCAGTTCTATATCATTTTCATGTTACCATCTCTATATCATTTTCATGTTACCAGCTCTATATTATTTTCATGTTACCATCTCTATATCATTTTCATGTTACCAGCTCTATATCGTTTTCATGTAACCAGTTTTTATATCATTTTCATGTTACCAGCTCTATATCATTTTCATGTTACCAGCTCTATATCATTTTCATGTTACCATCTTTATATCATTTTCATGTTACCATCTCTATATCATTTTCATGTTACCAGCTCTATATCGTTTTCATGTAACCAGTTCTATATCATTTTCATGTAACCAGCTCTATATCATTTTCATGTTACCATCTCTATATCATTTTCATGTTACCATCTCTATATCATTTTCATGTTACCAGCTCTATATCGTTTTCATGTTACCAGTTCTATATCATTTTCATGTTACCAGCTCTATATCATTTTCATGTTACCAGATCTATATCATTTTCATGTTACAAGTTCTAGATCATTTTCATGTTTCCAGTTCTATATTATTTTCATGTTACCAGTTCTATATTATTTTTATATTACCATCTCTATATCATTTTCATGTTACCAGCTCTATATCATTTTCATGTTACCAGCTCTATATCATTTTCATGTTACCAGCTCTATATCGTTTTCATGTAACCAGTTCTATATCATTTTCACGTTACCAGCTCTATATCATTTTCATGTTACCAGTTCTATATTATTTTTATATTTCCAGTTCAGTATATCATTTCCATGTTACCAGTTCTATACCATTTTCATGTTACAAGTTCTAGATCATTTTCATGTTTCCAGTTCTAAATTATTTTCATGTTTCCAGTTCAATATATAATTTTTATGTTCCCAGTTCAATATATCATTTTCATGTTACCAGCTCTATATCATTTTCATGTTACCAGTTCTATATCATTTTCATGTTACCAGTTCTATATCATTTTCATGTTACCAGTTCTATATCATTTTCATGTTACCAGTTCTATATCATTTTCATGTTACCAGTTCTATATTATTTTTATGTTACCAGTTCTATATCATTTTTATGTTACCAGTTCAATATATCATTTTCATGTTACCAGTTCTTAAAAATTTTCATGTTACCAGTTCTATATCATTTTCATGTTTCCAGTTCTATATCATTTTCATGTTACCTTTTCTATATCATTTTCATGTTACCAGCTCTATATAATTTTCATGTCATGTCGTTTCAAATCATTTATTTGGTTGAGGATAACTTCGGTAGAAGTTAATTATAAGTGTTTTGCATAGCTCTTATTCTTTAAATCTATTTTCGGGACTTTTGCGATTGATGACTATTTTTTCAGCAAGGGGGTAAAGATGACACCTCGGCCAACTATATAAAATTCAACTGCCGCGATTATGACGGAAATAATCATTGGACGGAACTGAATCACCCACCAGGAAGAGGTATCTGGGGAAGTTTTGGGGCGTTTAGTGACAGGTGTGATGCGCATTCAGCGATCTGTGGTTTGGCGACGAAAGTTGAATCTTCACAAGGAAATGGTGACGATACTGCTTTAAATGACGTCAAATTTTACTGTTGTGACGACGGTGTTCATGGCCCTGTTGTCGGATAAAAAGAGTTTAAACTTTCGTTATCTCTGTATGACATATTGAAACAGTAAATAAAGCAATACAAAGAAATGTGTAAGCTACTAACTCTTTAAATTTCCTATCGGGTTTGTTTTGTTACTGGATTTAAAGTCACACAGAAACTGTGATAGTCAACTTTGCAAACCTTAACATGATTAATATTGTCTGAGCAATTAGTGAAATATACCTTCACACTAACTTGTCGGAGCAATAAGTGAAATATACCGTCACACTAACTTTTCTGAGCAATAAGTGAAAAATACCGTCGTACTAACTTTTCTGAGCGATAAGTGAAATATACGGTCACACTTACTTGTCAGAGCAATAAATAAAAAATACCGTTACACTAACTTGTCTGAGTAATAAGTGAACTATACCTTCACACTAACTTGTCTGAGCAATAAGTGAAATATACCGTCACACTAACTTGTCTGAGCAATAAGTGAAATATACCGTCACACTAACTTGTCTGAGCAATAAGTGAAATATACCGTCACACTATTTGTCTGAGCAATAAGTGAAATATACTTTCACATCAACTTGTCTGAGCAATAAGTGAACTATACCGTCATACTAACTTGTCTGAGCAATAAATGAAATGTACCATCACACTTAATTGTCTGAGCAATAAGTTAATTATACCGTCACACTAACTTGTCTGGACGATAAGTGAAATATGCTGTCACATTTACTTGTCTGAGCAATAAGTGAAATATACCGTCACACTAACTTGTCTGAGCAATAAGTGAAATATACCGTCACACTAACTTGTCTGAGCAATAAGTGAAATATACCGTCACACTAACTTGTCTGAGCAATAAGTGAAATATACCGTCACACTAACTTGTCTGAGCAATAAGTGAAATATACTGTCACACTAACTTGTCTGAGAGATAAGTGAAATATACCGTCACACTAACTTGTCTGAGCAATAAGTGAAATATACTGTCACACTAACTTGTCTGAGTGATAAGTGAAATATACTGTCACACTAACTTGTCTGAGCAATAAGTGAAATATACTGTCCTACTAACTTGTCTTAGCGATAAGTTAAATAGACTGTCACACTAACTTTTCTGTGCAATAAGTTAAATATACTGTCACACTAACTTGTCTGAGCGATAAGTAAAATATATAGTCACACTAACTTGTTTGAGCAATTAGTGAAATATACCGTCACACTGACTTGTCTGAGCAATAAATGAAATACACCGTCACACTAACTTGTCTGAACAATGAGTGGAATATACTGTCACACTAACTTGTCTGAGAGATAAGTGAAAAATACTGTCACACTTACTCGTCTGAGCAATAAGTTAAATATACTGTCACACTAACTTGCCTGAGTGATAAGTGAAATATACTGTCACACTAACTTGTCAGAGCAATAAGTGAAATATACCGTCACACTAACTTGTCTGAGCAATAATTGAACTATACTCTCACACTAACTTGTCTGAGCTATAAGTGAAATATACCGTCACACTAACTTGTCTGAGAAATAAGTGAAATTTACTGTCATACTAAATTGTCTGAGCGATAAGTGAAATATACCGTCACACTATCTTGTCTGAGAGATAAAGTGAAATATACTGTCACACTAACTTGTCTTAGCGATAAGTTAAATATACTGTCACACTAACTTGTCTGAGTGATAAGTGAAATATACTGTCACACTAACTTGTCTGAGCAATAAGTTAAATATACTGTCACACTAACTTGTCTGAGTGATAAGTGAAATATACTGTCACACTATCTTATCTGAGCGATAAGTAAAATATACTGTCACACTAACTTGTCTGAGCAATAAGTGAAATATACCGTCACACTAACTTGTCTTAGCGATAAGTTAAATAGACTGTCACACTAACTTGTCTGTGCAATAAGTTAAATATACTGTCACACTAACTTGTCTGAGCGATAAGTGAAATATACCGTCACACTAACTTGTCTATGCAATAAGTTAAATATACTGACACAGCGCTTTGTCTGAGCAATATGTGAAATATACTTGTCTGAGCAAATAGTGAAATACAATGTAAACCTTCACACTAACTTGTCTGAGCGATATATACCTTCACACTTACTTGTTTTAGCAATTAATAAAATATACTGTCACACTAACTTGTCTGAGCAATAAGTGAAATATACCGTCAGACTAACTTGTCTGAGCAATAAGTGAAATATACCGTCACACTAACTGGTCTGAGAAATAAGTGAAATATACTGTCATACTAACTTGTCTGAGCGATAAGGGAAATATACTGTCATACTAACTTGTCTGAGCGATAAGGGAAATATACCTTCACACTTACTTGTTTTAGCAATTAATAAAATATACTGTCACACTTACTTGTCTGAGCAAAAAATGAAATACAGTCACACTAACTTGTCTGAGCAATATGTGAAATAGACTGTCACACTAACTTGTGTGAACTGTAAGTGAAATATACCATTACACTTACTTGTCTGAGCATCAAGTTAAATATACAGTCACACTGACTTATCTGAGCAATAAGTGAGTGAAATATACCGTCACACTAACTTGTCTGAGCAATAAGTGAACATTACCGTCACACTAACTTGTCTGAGCAATAAATGAAATGTTCCATCACACTTAATTGTCTGAGCAATAAGTTAAGTATACCGTCACACTTACTTGTCTGGACGATAAGTGAAATATACTGTCACATTGACTTGTCTGAACGATAAGTGAAATATACCGTCGCACTAACCTCTCTGAGCAATAAATGAATAATACCTTCAAATTATTTTGTCTGAACGATAAGTGAAATATACCGTCACACTAACCTGTCTGAGCAATAAGTGAACTATACCGTCACACTAACTTGTCTTAGCAATAAATGAAAAAGACCGTTACACTAAATTGTCTGAGTAATAAGGGAAATATACCGCCACACTAACTTTTCTGAGCAATAAGTGAACTATACCGTCACACTGACTTGTCTGAGCAATAAGTGAAATATACTGTCACACTAACTTGTCTGGACGATAAGTGAAATATACCGTCACATTTACTTGTCTGAACAATATGTGAAATATACCGTCACACTAACTTGTCTGAGAAATAAGTGAAATATACCGTCACACTAACTTGTCTGAGCGATAAGTGAAATATAGCGTCACACTATCTTGTCTGAGCAATAAGTGAACTTTACCGTCACACAACTTGTCTTAGCGATAAGTGAAATATACCTCACACTAACTTGTCTGAGCAATAAGTTAAATATACTGTCACACTAACTTGTCAGAGCGATAAGTGAAATATACCGTCACACTATATTGTCTGAGCAATAAGTGAAATATACAGTCACACTAACTTGTCTGAGCAATAATTGAAATATACCTTCACACTAACTTGTCTGTGCAATAAGTTAAATATACTGTCACACTACTTTGTCTGAGCAATATGTGAAATATACTTGTCCGAGCAATTAGTGAAATATAACGTATACCTTCACACTAACTTGTCTGAGTGGTAAATGATATATACCGTCACATTTTCTTGTCTGAGCAATAAGTGACATATACCGACACACTAACTTGTCTGAGCAATAAGTGAAATATACAGTCACACTAACTTCTCTGAGCAATAAAGGAAATATACCGTCACGCTTACTTGTCTGAGCAATAAGTGAAATATACAGTCACACTAACTTCTCTGAGCAATAAAGGAAATATACCGTCACGCTTACTTGTCTGAGCAATAAGTGAAATATACCGTCACATATATTGCTTGGGTTATGGCTGCAGGCTTTTAAATATTTAAGGAAGACCCTCCAAAGTTGTACAAATCGAAATTGCAATGGATTTAGTCTAATTGTTTTAGGTAGGCTTGTTAAATCAATGTTTTTCGCGAAATTTATATACAGAAAGAGCAAATCGCCGGTCCAAAAATTACAAAGCCACGCGGAAATCTCCTGGACATATTGCTTGGGTTTGGGCTTTAGGCCTTATATTGTACAAAGAAGACCCTCCAAGGTTGTACAAAATTGAATTTGCTACGGAATTGGTCAAATGGTTATTGAACGGTAGGCTCGTGAAAATGACGCTGTTCACTAATTTTATATACAGAATGAACGAATCGCAAGTCCATTAATTGACAAAGCCACGCGAAAGTCTCCTGGACACATTGTTTTGGTTAGGGCTTTAGGCCTTACAATGTGCAAAGGAGACCCGCCAAAGTTGTACAAATTCGAATTTGCAACGAATTAGTAAAATGGTGTTTCACCATTCTACTCGAGGAGATGATGCGGTTTTTTACGTTTTTTTTTTTACTTTATTTAATTAAAGAACGAATCGCCAATGTCCAAATAGCGACCATTGAACATAGACCACTTGCTCAATTTTCCTTGCGTTAGAGCTCTGAGCCTTTGAGACTTATATAGCTGTAAACATCCTTCTTACTAATAAAATATACTAGATTTAGATTCTCTTTCTAAGTATGCAGTCTTATTTTACAATGGCTAACTGTACATGAGATTAATTCCTGCATGAACAAAGGAGCTGTTTAATCACACACACCACAAACGATTTACATTGATATGAAGCTGGAAAACGACGGTATGAACAGTTGGCTCCAACAAAATGTTTTCTCGGAAAATGTATACACTTTATATACAAAAAAATTTAATCGCCGGAAAATGACCTAGCCATGCGGAAAACTCATGGACATATTCCTGGGTTAGGGCTTAAAGCCTTCAAATATCGAAAGAAAACCATCAAAAGTTGTACAAAATCGAATTTGCAATAGAATTATTCAAATTGTTTTTGAACAGTAGACTCGAGAAAATGTAGTTTTTTCCGGAACTTTTATACACTTTATATACAGAAAAATTAAATCGCCGGAAAATGACCTAGCCATGCGGAAAACTCATGGACATATTCCTGGGTTAGGGCTTAAAGCCTTAAAATATGGAAAGAAAGCCATCGAAAGTGGTACAAAATCGAATTTGCACTAGAATTATTCAAATTGTTTTTGAACAGTAGACTCGAGAAAATGTAGTTTTTTTCCGGAACTTTTATACACT